TTTAAATTTTTTAAAAAAGGTTTATTTTTTTGGGGGGGGAGAGAGAGAGAGAGAGAGAGACAAAGACAGAGAGAGGCAAAGACAGAGAGAGACAAAGACAGAGAGAGAGACAGAGTGTGAGGTGGGAGGGGGCCAGAGAGAGGGAGACATAGAATTGGAAGCAGGCTCCAGGCTCTGAGCTATCAGCACAGAGCCCAATGCTAGGCTGGAAATCACAGACAAGGAGCTCATGATCTAAGCTGAAGTGGGACGCTTAACCCACTGAGCCACGCAGTTGCCCCAATCTTCCACTCCTTTTAAAATCCATTCTGATGTTATTTTCTTTCAGCAGTTTAAAGCCTTTGTTGTTGTTGCCATTTATTTTGTCTTGAGTATTTCATTCAGTTATTCTATCAGGGTAGGTGTGCTGGCAATTAATACTCTTAGTTATGTTTTGAAAATGTCATTATTGGCTTTTTATTCCTGAACGATATGTTCACTGGATACAGAATTCATCGTTGACGCTTTTGTTCCATTTGAGAAACACATGCTACTTCCTCTGGCTTCCATGATTCAGATTGGGGCAAGAGGGTGGTTTTTCCACTGGAGTTTGCTCAAAGTAAGGTGGGCATTATCAGCAAAGTTCTGTTAAGCCACCCTTTTCCAGGTTTTGACTAAGGGGAACAGGCATAGAGCTTTTTCGATCTGAGTCTGTTGGAGGTTCTGTTATGGAAGCTTCTGGAACACATCAGCGGAAAGATATGGGAAAGAAACAAAAGAGAATTTACCACCATGCTGCTCCTCAGCCCTGAAGTTCTCGCAGTTTGCCTTCTTCTTTTCACATTTCAGAGTCATCCAATGCTTGCTTATTGTTTGCCCAGGAATTTTTAGTTGTGACAGGAATGACCTAGGAGGAATGGTGGCCATCCGTTTTGTCTCAAACCCCTGATACAGAGTTACAGAGTCTTTTCCAACATTTTACTATGAAAAATTTCAAACACAAAGTAAGTTGAAAGAATTTTACAGTCAACTCCCATATACCATCACCTAGATTCTACTATTAATATGAGAAGGGGTCTATTCTCAACTTGGGTGGATGTCTTTAGAATTGGGTGTTGGGGCACCTGGGTGGCTCAGGTGATTAAACAGCCAACTTTGACTCAGGTCATGATCTCATGGTAAGTGAGCTGGAGCCCTGCATTGGGCTCTCTGCTGGCAGGCAAAGCCTGCTTCAGATCTTCTGTCTTCCTCTCCCCCCACCCTCATCCTTCAACATGCACACTCTCTCTCTCAAAAGTAAACATATAAAATTTTTTAAAAATTATGTTATTATTGGATTGTATGTTCTAACTGCCTTTCTGGATATTTCACATTTTTAAAAGTATGAAAAGTATAATTCTATTTTTATTTCATATACACAAATGTGTGTAAGCACACAAAATAGGATATATGAATAGATATAATCAGTGTTTATTAATATTTCTTCATTCCACATACTATGTGTAAACTTTTTATAACTTGATTTTCAAAATCAGGTAAACAACCAAGAGTGTCTCTCTTTATTAAAATTGTGCATATGCAATATACCAAAATTTTGAACATTTCTCTTTCTTTTAAAGGCTTAGTTATTTATTTTTGAGAGAGAATAAGCATGAGTGGAGGAGTAGCAGAGACAGAGACAGAGAGAAAGAGAGAGAAAATCTCAACCAGGCTCTGCATTCATGCAGGGCTCAAACCCACAAACCGTGAGATCCTGACCTGAGCCAGACTGGCCCCCTTGAACATTTCAATAAAGTACATATACAAGCAATTACACCAGAAAATATTTAAATGGTTCAATAAGTACGAGATCATATTTAATTTCATAAGTACTCAAAATCAGAAATAAAAAATTTGGCCTATTGAATCAACAAAAACTTTTTCAAAAAGTTTCAAAAAACAAAACAACTCAGAGTAGGTATGGGTGCTAGGCACAGCACATATTGACTTATGGAAATAAAAAGTGTAAAAACTTCCAGGAAGGTAACTAGACAATGGTCTTAGAATTCCACCAGTCCTTGATCCAGTAATTCAAGAATTTTAAACTGAGAAAATAATCTTCAAGGATACAGGCACAAGAATATTAATGGAGCAAAAACTGGAAATACTGTAACAATAGGGGTTAAATAAGTTGAGCTTAGTTCAATACATGTAACTAAAAAATTTAATTAGTCGTAGTGGGATGCGCTGAAACCGTTCAAAACTACTGAAGGAGACTATTTATTGGCAAATTCAAATGCTCAAAGCACATTCTTAAGCTTACTCAAACGCTCAAAGCACATTCTTAAGGTGGGGGGGGACCCAAAATAGGTTACAATTGCTATCTGCAGGATTCCATTTTGTTAAAAGGAGGTAGGCAGTGATTGAGAGATTAATATGGAGTTTAAAGGTCTGTTAAAACATGTTCACCAACACGTTAACCACTTTCGTGTAGTGGCATCAGGTGTGTAAACCTTCTAAATGGGACATGTTCCTATTACGAAAAAAGGGAGGAAAGGGAGGGAAGGAAGGAAGAACAAAAAGATAGCTCTTGGCTTCTCTGCACCTGAAATGACCCCCCCCCCAATCTTCCCTCCATTGTTTCTCTGGCACCCCACTCTTCCAAAACAGCCCAGATCCCCCGACCTTGTTCTCCTTTCGCTGTTTTCCATACCGCTTATTTTCTAAAATGTTATATAATTATGTTCATGGCTTATGTCTGCTCTGTACCAATTTCTCCAGAGTTCTCGAAAGCAATGATCTTTGTTTTGTTCACCAACTGGTTTCCAACCAATGGCGTTTGGTACAATAGCAAATGCCAGATACAATGAGGGGAAAATAGGTTTGTTCTTCTCAGTTGTCTTGCTCTCTATCATTTACCCAGATGCACAGCTTCTAGTCACCGCCTTCTGCGAACCTACGATTGCATTTGGAAGCCTGGGGAGACACAGCTTCGCAGCCCAAGGAGAGTGACCCCGGAGCCCGGAAGTGGGATGTGGGCACGTGACAGGCTATCGCGCAGAACTACACTTCCCAGAATGCGTGGGTCCTCATGTGGACTACATTCCCCAGAGGCATTAGCGGCCGTCCCTAACTCACCCCCTGCCCCGCCTCTCCGGACACCCGGCTTCAGCAGCGAGCCGCTCCAGGCTTGAGGTCCGCCCGAGCACCGCCCAAGCATCGCGCGGGGAGGGGTTCTGACCCCCGGCTGCTGTCCGCCGGGGCAGCGCCGGAGCCTCCGCCTGCGGAGCACGCCCGGGGAGGCGCGGTCCCCAGAGCCGCCGAGGTCCTGGCGAGGTGAGCGGCCGAGGTTCGGTGGAATGCGGGAAGGAGGACCGGGACCTCTGAGGATGCGGCGCCGGGGCGCGGGGCACAGGCCCAAGAGGCGGGAGCGGGGCCTTTGTGGTGGCAGGAGGGCCAGGGGCCGGGCACCCCGGGATGTGTCCGCCGGCCCGGCACCGGCCGTCCCGCGCGGACGGGCCCCGGACCGCGGCAGGTCGGGCACTCGTCCCCATCGGCCCAGGCCCCGGCCACCCTCCCGCGCCCTCCCGACCGGTTCCCAGCGCGCTACCTGCCCAGCTACCGGCTGTCAGTGGACGCGAGGAGCTGTGTTTCCGCCCCTCACGGCGCCACTGCCCTCCGGGCGGCGGGCGCAGAGATGTGTTTTCCGCCAGAAGTGAGTTGTCCGCTTCCCCCCGCGGCAGAGCCTGGACGGGAACCCAGTTTTTCGGTTTCGGTGGCCGTTCCTTCAGACAGCAGCGCTCTGGCCGCCGCAGGAAAACTGATGTCCTCCCTTTCCGAAGCAGTTTTCTCCAAAAGTCTGGAAGAGATTCCTTGACAGGAGGAGAGTTGGGTGGAGAAAAGTTGTCCCCGGCAGGCCGTGAGGTTGGAGCAGGTGTTCCGGAGGCGCGCGGTACGGATCCCGGTGCGCCCTCCGCGGCCCTGTGAACTGGGGCAAGGTGCTCCCTCTCTGCCCTCCCTCTCCTGACCTGTAGAATGGGGGTGCTGACAGTGGCAGCTGCGTTGCGGGACTGGACGGTGTTGGTGGTCCCTGGCATTGAGGGAGGTCCAGGGAGTTACTGCAGCTGCAGCTGGCGTCCTAGGTTCTTTTTCTCTGAGCCACACCAGGAAGAGCTGGGGCCTGGACCACGATGGGCTGGCCCTTCTCTGTGCTTCTGTCTACTCCCAGCTCCTTCTGTCTTCATTCTTATGGGGCGTAAGGATTTCAGAGTTGGTGCTTCTGATGGGTGGCAAGCAGAAGGGCTTCTCCCTCCTGGCTCCCTTTTTCTTCTTTCAGATCTGCCTTCCGGAGGCTCCACCCATCCTGGGGGAAGAGCCCAGAAAGAAGACATGGCTATTGGACAGAGAGAAGCAAGGCCTCGGGTGAGTTCATTGCCATCTCAGACCCTAGAGACAGACTGATTGATTGATTTTCTGATTGATTCACTTGCTTACTTACCCACCCTTGAACTGAAGCTCCCTACTCAGAACAACCTTCTCCAGGATTTGGAGCCCAAGCCCTTTAGTCTTTGCAGAGCTGGTCCACCCTGGTGGATGGCGAACTGTGTAGGGAAAGCTAACCTCCCCGCCAATCCATGTCCTGTGTTTCTCTTTTCTTTTCCTAACAAACACTACTTTTTATTCATCAATCTCAATTCAGTGTCTGATTACTAACTTAACAGGTAAGAGGCCACGTGGGGGCAGAACAAACAAACGGTGCACACTTGGCAGTTCTTTTCTGGCCCTGCTTCCTTGGCTCGCCCTGGTCTCCCTCCCTACCCTTGGCTTTTTTCTTTCCTCTCCCGAGTTTCCCATTATACATTCCCTAGGTTTCTCCAACTCATCGTCTATAGCATTTTTTTCTCTCTTAAGCTTGTGGACCATGTGCCTTGCTTCTGCATTCTCTTGAACATTGTTCTGCATTCTCAGAAAACTTCCATTGTCATCTTTATGGTGTGGAATGGGGGAGGGGCCCATCCCGGAGGCCAGCGCATGAACAAAGAATGGCCATGGTGGAGGGGACACAGTCGGAGAGGTCTGTTGATTGCAAGGGCAGAGAGAAGCCTCCTCGGGAAGCAGCCAGGAGGATCCTATGGGGCGTCAGTAGTGGAGAGGCAGGGTGTGCGGTGGCCAAGAATCACGGCTTTCCAGCCAGCCTGCCGGGTTTGAACCAGTCTCCTTGGTTGTGTGCGGGCCTCGGACACAAGGCTCCTTCTCTCTGTGCCTGTTTCCTCATCTGGAAAGTGGGGCTCACAGCCACGCCTGACTCACAGGGCAGGTGAGCGGATCACGTGAGTCCGTGCGCGGCAGGTGTTTACTTCGGGGCCGGCCCCTCGCGGATGGTCACCGTGTGGTGGCTGTGGGAGGTGACTGATGTCCCTGCAGTAGTGCTATCAGTGCTGACAGATGGGCGCTGCTGTACCGTGTGTTCAGGACCCGGGAAATACGGGTCCTTTCATGACTCGCCTCCATCTGGCAGTAGCAACTAATGTCGCCGGGGCACTTCCTGAGGGCTTTGCCTTTGTTCTCACTCCCGTGCCTGTGCAGCCGTTATTATCCCCATTTTATACATGAGGAAACGGAGGCTCAAGGAAGCCCAGTGACCTGAATTCAAACCTAAGTGTGTCTGGCCTCTGGGTTCATGCTCGTTACTGTCCATCCATCCTGCTGTGCCTCCCTCAGAACTCCGGGCCGACCCAGCCCTCGCCTTACCAGAGCCCTTCCTGCTGTGACCAGAGTCCTTCCTACTGTGACCAGAGCCCTTCCCTGCTGTGACCAGAGCCCTTTCCTGCTGTGACCAGAGCCCTTCCCTGCTGTGACCAGAGCTCTTCTCACTGTGACCAGAGTCCTTCCTACTGTGACCAGAGCCCTTCCCTGCTGTGACCAGAGCCCTTTCCCGCTGTGACCAGAGCCCTTCCCTGCTGTGACCAGAGCCCTTCTCACTGTGACCAGAGCCCTTCCCTGCTGTGACTAGAGCCCTTCCCTGCTGTGACCAGAGCCCTTCTCACTGTGACCAGAGCCCTTCCCTGCTGTGATGCTGTGTTTCGGACCCATGAAACAGTTAGTGTCTGATCTTCCGCCCAGGGCCTGCCATTGTATGTTCGAGCTGCTTTTCTCTAAGGCTCCCTCTTCCATTCCACCGGAGCCACGTTGCTGTCTTGGCCAGAATCTTCTCCATCCATGTGTGTGAGTGAATCCACGTGGTGTTCTCTATAACCTCACCTGCCTCTGTCTGTCAACTGTATGGCTTTGTGTGTAGAAGTCAGTGACAGGGTGTTTAAGACCAGAGAGAATTTGGGCACCTGGTTGGCTCAGTCAGTTAAGCCTCTGACTTCAGCTCAGGTCATGATCTCACAGTTTGTGAGTTTGAGCCCTGCATCGGGCTCTATGCTGTCACTCAGAGCCTGGAGCCTGCTTGGATTCTGTGTCTCCCTCTCTCTCTGCCCTTTCCCTGCTCACGCTCTGTCTTTCTCTCAAAAAATAAACAAACATTTAAAAAAAAAAAAAGAAAGAGAGACCAGAGAGAAGGTTATACCGAGTGCTGGGTTAAAAGAAAACTTGAATTATTGTCCTGCCTCTGCCACTAAGAAATTATGTGCCCTGGGTCTTGACTGCCCTGAATCTTCTGGTCCTCATCTCTAAAATGAGGATTGAACTGGAAATGGCATATGATCCTGTCCAGCTACACAGTTTCCTTTCATTGGTTAAATCATTGCAGGCGGTTTTCTTGTGTGTCAGCTGGATTGTAATGTTTTTTTTTTAATTTTTTTTTATTTTTTTTAAATATATATTTTTTAAATTTATTTCTAGGAGAGAGAGAGAGAGACAGCATGAGCAGGGGAGGGTCAGAGAGAGAGGGAGACACAGACTCTGAAACAGGCTCCAGGCTCCGAGCTGGCAGTCAGCACGGAGCCCGACGCGGGGCTCGAACCCACGAACCGCGAGATCATGACCCAAGCGAAAGTCGGACGCTTAACCGACTAAGCCACCCAGGCGCCCCAGGATTGTAATGTTTTGAGAGCAAAGATCATTTCTTGTATTTTCTCCCAATACATAAATAATCTAATGTTTTTTCTTACCATAAAAATATTGCATAAAAAGGGGCACCTGGGTGGTTTAGTCAGTTAAGTGTCCGATTTTAGCTTAGGTCATGAAATTGCAGTTTGTGACTTCAAGCCCCTCATCGGGCTCTGTCCTGACAGCTTGGAGCCTGGAGCCTGCTTCGGATTCTGTGTCTTCTTCTCTTTCTCTCCCTCCACTCATGCTCTGTCACTCTCTCAAAAATAAATATTTAAAAATAATTTTTAAAAAATATTGCATAATCATGGCAAAAGTTTTAGAGAATAAAATATGCACATATATTTGCATAGATGTATATACGTGTGTGTGTGTGTATTTATGTGTACAGTTGATCCTTGAACATGGGTTTGTACTGTGGAGTCCACTTCCAGGTAGATTTTTTTCAATGAACACAGTACAGTACAGCGCTGTAAATGCATTTTCTCTTCCTTCTGATTTCCTTAGTAACATTCTCTTTTCTCTAGCTTACTTAAATGTAAGAATACAATATATAATGTATATAGCATGTAAAATGTGTGTTAATCGACTGTCAGCAGTCCACAGTGGGCTACTAGTAGTTACGTTTTTGGGGAGTCAAGATTTATACATGGATTTTTGACTGTGTGTAAGGTCAATGCCCCTAACCCCCTCGTTTTGCAAGAGTCAACCCACCATCTGTAGATAATCACTGTCAATCATTTGTTGTTTACGTCTTAGCATCATATATATATATATATATATGTATATATATATATACATATATATATATATGATGTAGCATCATACAAAATTTATATATACATATATAAATTTTCATCAGAAATGAGAACAAACTGCACACTGACATATAACCTGCTTTTCGTATTTAACATTATCATGGGTGTCTTTTTAACACATATGGACTTCCCACCTGTTTTAATGATTACACAGTATTTTATATTGATGTGATAATAGCTAACATCTGAACCTTTGATATGAACCAGACATGGTATTCATTATGTTGTATGGAGCATCTCATTTATTTATTAACTCTATTTGGTAGGTTCTGAGAGGCACTTTTATGGAATGGTTAAGAATGGAACCCTGGACAGCCACCTGGCGTGGACTCCCAGCTCTACTACTGACTAGCTTTGGGACTTTAGGGAAATTTATCCTCTCTGGCTGTTTGCTCTGATGTAAAATGGGGGCAATAATAGTATCTTCTCCTTAGGGTTGTTGCAAATTTCAAATAAAGATTATATTAAAGATTAACATAAAGCTCTAAGAATTATACCTGGCTCACATATAGCATTCAATATAAGAGAGATATTTCAGTTTTCATTATTACTGTCTTCAAGCTTCAGGAAGCACACAGATAGTGCCTTCCTCTAGTTAACCTCTCCATCACCATTAATGATTATTTAGGTTGTTTCCATTTTTTTTCCTATTACTAAAGCCGTGATACGTGCTCTATGTCATTTTTGTGTCCTCTTCATTATAATACAAATATAATAATGGTGAGTTAAGGAACAAACACATTTTAAAGCTTTGAATATGTACTATCAATGCACCATCAGAAAAATTAAGGCTCCAATGGTCTTAATACCTCCTCACATCTCTTAAGTGGTTAACATGTATTTGTCACTGGCTGATTATTCATTAAACAAATGACCTGAAACCTTAAGAAACCAGAATAACATCAGAGGCGTTTCATGGGAGCTCATCTACCCCCTCTCCCCCAACCCTATTGTCACCCTTCTCCACTCTGTGTGATGGGAGGCCCAGGGTGAGCTGGGATGGCTTGTCATTGCAGGTGTCCGTGACATTCGAGGATGTGGCTGTGCTCTTTACACGGGAGGAGTGGAGAAAGCTGGGTCCTTCTCAGAGAAGCTTGTACCAGGAAGTGATGCTGGAGAACTATAGTAACCTGGTTTCATTGGGTAAGGAAATCTGCCCTGTGGATGAAAAACTCAGAAATGAGGGTAAGTCGGCACCTGCTGCCCAGGATAAAAGCCACGGGTCGTCAGGAATTTTAGCTGAACTTTGCCTTAAGACTGTACAAACTGTAAATAACTAAATATTTAAAACTTTTTTCCCTTTATAGGCATGGATTTGTCCCATGGTGGGACAGCTGCCATACTTTCACGTGAGAAATTCCCTATTGGTCAGGCAACATTTTCCTGCTAGGATTTTCTGCGATTTGTTTGCTCCACCCACAGCAGAGACCATCCCTCGACTGTCTTCATTAACCTACTCCTGGCCTTTCCCAATTCTCTTTTCCACTCCAATGAGGGTTGTATTAGAAAGGGAGTCAGATAGCATTTTCTCATTTAAAAAAAACTAAATTTTTTTTTAATGTTTATTTGTTCCTGAGAGAGAGAGACAGAGAGTGAGCAGGGGAGGGGCAGAGAAGAGGGAGACACAGAATCTGAAGCAGCTCCAGGCTCTGAGCTATCAGCACAGATACTGATGCAGGGCTCAAACTCTGGAACCATGAGATCATGACCTGAGCCGAAGTCAGACGCTTAACTGACTGAGCCACGTAGGCGCCCCTAAAAAGTTTTTTTTTAAGTTTATTTATTTATTTCAAGATAGAAAAAGTGAATGAAAGAAGGGCAGAGAGAGAGGGAGAGAGAGAATCCTAAGCAGGCCCCATGCTTTCAGTGAGGAGCCTGATGGGGGCTCAAAGTCACAAACCGTGAGATCATGACCTGAGCTGAAATCAAGAGTCAGATGCTTCACCAACTGAGCTACTCAGGCGTGCCAGTGTTTTCTCATTTTAAACTGGGGACCTAGTACCTGTTCACAAATACATAGTCTGTGCATCGAACATAGTCCCCTCTTCTGTAGAAAGCCATTGGTACTCCATTAATCAAAGCTGCATACTTACCATATTTCTCTAACATACAACTAATTATTACAAAGGCATGTCCTCCACGTCCCTCGCCTTTTCCCTCACACATGCCCTCACATCATGGGGGCACAGCTGGAGCAGTCCCCAAAAGCTCTTTGTTCCATCCCCTGAGTTTTCTACTTAGATTGGTAATGCTTCTTTGAGTTGAAACAAAGTCTTGTCTTTTTTGTCTCTTTCTTTTTTTTGTCTGTGAGCAGGACTCCTGTTTTCCAAACCAAAAGTGATCTCCCTGTTGCAGCAAGGAGAAGACCCCTGGAGGGTAGACAAAGAAAGTCCTGGAGGCCCCTCTCTAGGTGAGTGGCAGGGACTGAGAAGCCCGGGAACTGCTTTGGGCAGCAGACCGTTTACTAAGTGGACGGTGGGGCTTGGAGATGCTGGTGGGGGAAGTTTCTCCGGGGCCTCTGTCTTCCAGATGTGGTGGGGAGGGGACACTGAGGCCCCAGGCGGGAGCCTCCTCTGTGGTAATCACCTCCCAAGTGAATCTCTCAGGATCTCCTCTCTTCTTTCCTGTTCTTGGAGGAGGGCGGCACCTCAGGTGTTCCGTCAGCAAACAGTGTGTTTGAGGAATGGCAAAGAATCCGTTCTGCCTGAGGCTCAGGGGCTGTATGTGAGAGAAGGAGCCGAGAAAGGAGAGGGTGTCAGAAAGCTGGCAGGGGCCACACTACCACGTGCTTTGACACGATTCTTGCAGATGGACTGTCCCATGGAGATAAGGATTTTAAACAGACGAATGATATGGTCTTGGTAGTTTAGAAAAATTGGCCCAATTCTGAAGCAATGTAGATGTCCTTAGATAAAGGCATGGCTTAGGACGCTGTGGCGAGTCCCTGCCCTGGCATAGAGCACCACGCCAGACAGAAGAGCACGCTGGTGTGGCCAGAGCTCCAGGGCAGGTCACGGAGCACGATGGTGATGTTCAATTGGAAAGCACCAATTGGTGTTTAAGGAAAATTCCATGGCTGTTCGTACGTATAATATGCATGGAAATGCAGAGAAAAGGCGACACACGTTAGCTGGTAGTTCCACTTGGAACAGAATCGAGACTGGGCAGGATGCAAGAGAGCTCTATTTGTATATAATCTTATTGCGTCACAGAGAATACATTCATGGGGTCCTTATATAATTTTTACTGGACCAAAGTGGGCCGGCTACTTGGCGAGGTGTAGACAGACTACACCAGGTGGAACTGCCTCACAGGGTCAACTTTATTTGTACAAACAAGGAGATCGTGGAAAATAATTCACAAAGCCATGTCTCCAGGGACAAGGGAAAGAAGGCTGCTTTTATTAGGGCTTGGGATGGATTTAGAGAAAGGGATTCTAGCACCATAGAGAGGTGAAGGTCACTCTGGCACAGCTGATTGATCTGCTCAGGTGATCGACTCAGGTGGCCTCCTCAAATGTTTCTTTATCTGTTCCAGCAGTTTGTAAGCCTGACCACCAGGCAGAAGCTTGTAGGAGTTTAGTTCCTAAGTTCAGGGAGTTAAGGTGGCAACAATTGGAATTTAATAAGAACGGTCACCTTGGAAGCATTGTGGGGGATAGACTTAAAGTGAAGGAAAACCTGACGTGGAACCTTCCGGAGACCCCTGCAGTCATGTAGGCAAGATGTTTCTAGTGGGGTCCAGGAGGGAAGACATGGGGCCCCCTGTTAAGGGTGTAGCTGAGTTCACTGTGGGACAGGTCTCACTTGAGGCGCGGGTGGAAAGCTCCGGTAGAGATGCTGGTGGACAGTTGTATGAGGTCTGTGAGGACTCGAATGGGACGTCAGGGAGCCCTGGGTACAAAGGTGGCAGCTGAAGCCTCGAACTGACCAGGTGGGGGCACAGAGCACAGGACAGAACCCCAGGAAACCTCAACATTTACGAGGTGGGTTAGGAAAGAAGAATCTGGCTGAGCCTGAGAAGTCATCAGAGGAGAGGAACAGGGGAGGCGGCTGTCATGGCAGTTGGGGACAGAGAGCTGATGGGGGAGGGGGTGGGGTCAGGGCTCTGGAGGATCTGGGTTCAAACCCTCACCCACGGCTTCCCTGTCCCATCATAAAGGATGAGTGAGCTCTGCGCTGCACACTGGTGATGTGACATTGACAGAAAGACCCAGGTCCTGCTGGCTGGGGGTTATGTTTAAGGCTGGGACACAAGTGTTCAGGAAATGAGCACAGAGAGGGTGTGGAATGACAGCTGGTCAGGACCCACAGGGAAGATGCAAAATGCTGTGAGTATGTGGCGGGGGGCGGGGGGTACCAATGCATTAGGAGGGGGAAGGAATGGGGGCTTGGGGGTGGGGAGGAGGAGCAGGAGGGGGCCGCATGGACAAACGCTGCCGGAGGAGGATGGGATCTGAGGATGCCGAGAGAGTACAGGCTCAGGAAGGGGCATGGGTGCTGCAGAGAACAGAAGCCAGCGGGTGGTGACAGGTGCCAGGAGACAGCAGCAGGGACCACATCCCACGGAGCCCGGGAAGCCTCGATACCAGATTTGTTTCTCTCCCCCAGAGCCACGCGCAGTGCGTGAGGGGTCAGGAGTACCTGGCCACAGACCCAGGCTTACCCTCTGCAGAGATCAGCCTGCAGGCGACAGGGAGCCTGTTGACATGGAAGTGGGGGCTGGTCCCGGCTGTCGTAAGGTCCACACAGAGTCAGTGATGGCCCCCCACACTGTGGGCCCCACAGAGGACAGGGTGTCTTCTAGCTTGCATGAAGGTGTGCCCTTAACAGCCTAGAGACACAGCAGGTGGTGGTTTAAAGAGTGAATCTCTTAGGAGGTGAAAGCGGAGCCCAGGTACTCTGTAGCCATGTCCAGTATGTTTGAGTCAATCTCGTCCTTGTCCCCTGCATGATCTTGTACCTCCGTCTTGCCACCAGCATCTGTTCTTGTAGCTGCCAGAATTGAAAAGTCAATAGGGTCATCTTACTCCCCTGCGCAAGACCTCTGCAGGCTTCCTTCTTGATGCGTACCTTTCAAAGGGAGAGCTCCCAGCTCTTAAGAACATCTTTGGGTTATAATGTTCACAGACGCTTTAACAAGATTTATATACACATCATATCAAAAGCTTAGAGGAAGGATTTCCAAATACAAATTTTCTCAATGAAACGCTTTAAGACGAAGGTAAGGAGACATCTTTCCCTTTTGAGGTGCTGCCCCACTATTTTCCAGAGCTGCTGACCTCTGACATTGCCACCAGCTGTCTCTGTATTTAGATTCCAATTTACCCACATTGTGGACAAAACTTCCTGGCATCCCCTAATGATATTTTTATTATGGTAAAATACAAATAATGTAAAATTTACGTTAACCATTTTTAAGCATACGATTTGGTGGCATTAAGTTCATTCACGGTGCTGTGCCACCACCCCCAGCATCTAGCTGCAGAAGTTCTTCATAATCCCTTCCTGAAAGTCTGTCCTCACTAAACGCTCATTCCCTATCCACCTCTTCCCTCATCCCCTGGTAACCACTGTTCTATTCTCTGTCTCTTTGTGTTTGACTATTCTAGGAACCTCACAGAATTAGTATCCTCTAACACTTGTCATTTTGTGTCTGGTTTATGTCACTCCGCATAATATCTTCGAGGTTCGTCCATGTTGTAGCATCTGTCAGAACTTCCTTTCTTCTTAAGGCTGAATAATATTCTGTTAATATGGATATACCACGTTTTGTTTATCCATTCATCTGTCACTGGAAGTTTGGGTGGTTTCCACCTTTGGTTACTGTGAGTAATGCTACTGTGAACATGGGTGTACAGATAATCTCTTTCAGTTATTTGGGGTACATAAGGAATGGAATTGCTGGATCACACAATAATTCTCTACTTAACTTTTTGAAGCACTGCTCTACTGTTTTCCACCGTGGCCCCATTCATTTATGTTCCCACCAGCAATGTATAAGGGTTCCAGTTTCTCCACATCCTTGACAACATTTGTTATTTTCTGGATTGTTGCTTTTGTTTTTTAATAATAGCCATACTAATGGATTTAAAGTGGTATCTGGTGGTTTTGATTTGCATTTCCTTACTGATTAGTGACGTTGAGTGTCTTTTCATGTGCTTACTGGTCATGTCCCCCTTTCTGCATGTTACCTTTTTATTCTGCTGATAGTGTTCTCTGATGCACAAAACCTTTAATTTTGATGAAGTCCAATTATTTATCTATTTTTTTCTTTTGTTGCCTGTAATTTTAGTGTCCTATCTCAGAAATCGTTGCCAAATCCAGTGTCATGAAGTTTTTGCCCTGTTTTCTTTTAAGAATTGTATAGTTTTAGGTCTTCAAGTGATAGACCCATTTTTGAGTTAATTTTTATATATGGAGTTGGTAAGGGCCTGACTTGATTTTTTTGTATGAGGATATCCAGTTTTCCCAGTACCCTTTGTTGAAAAGACTGTCTCTTCCTCATTGAATGGTCTTGGCATCCTTGTCAAAAATCATTGATCATATATGTGAGGGTTTCTTTCTGGATTTTGTATTCTGTTCTGTTAGTGTATATGTCTGTCTATGCCAGTACCACAATATTTAAATTACTTATAACTTTGTAGTAAGTTCTGAAATCAGTACACTTTTGTAATAAGTTGTGATACTCCAACTTTGTTCTTCCCTTTCAAGATGATTTTGGCTTTTCAGAGTCCCTTGAGATTCCATATGAAGTTTAGGATGGGCTTTTCTATTTCTGAAAAGAAAAATGCAGCATTGGAATTTTGATAGGGATAACACTGAATCCGTAGATCACTTCAAGTAGAATTGCCATCTTAATATGAAGTCTTATAATCCATGAACACCTGGTGTCTTTTCATGTCTACTTTCTTTCTGCAATGTTTGTAGTTTTCAGCTGTGTCACCTCCTTCTTTAATTCCACAGTATTTTATTCTTTTTGATGCTATTGTAAATGAAATAATCTTGTCTATTTCTTTGGCATTGTTCATTGTTAGTGTATAAAAAAAATGAATTTTGTGTTACTGTTGCTGCTTTGCTGAGTTTGTTAGTTCTAACAGTTTTTGTGTGGAATCTTCAGGATTTTCTACGTATAAGATCATGCCATCAACAAGTGAGACGAAGCTTTTCTGAGATGAAGGCTATTCTGAGCCTGTGTCTTTGTTTTTGGCATATATGATGACTTTCTAAATTCCCCATGTATGCGGTTACTTTGGAATGTCCTTATATTTAAATATGTGATCCCCAAATGTGGGAAAGAGGTAAAATGCGAGTGGGAGAGGGCAGCTGCTTCAGCCAGTGGGGCAACAATGGCCGCCTGCCTTGTGTCTGTACCTCCTGTACGATCCCAAGCAATAACCCTCTGACAGAACCCAGATCCACAATAGTTGGAGAACAAGGTTCTTATCATCCTGGCTCCTTCCCGCAAGCTATCTAAAGAATGCCAGTACAGTAGCCTGCCATGGGCTGGAGGCTGGGGCATGAGTAGTTGCTACTGACTGAAATTAAACTGTAATTTACTGAGCAAGCCTTCTGTTAGAAGCTGCCAGCCTTCAGATAGATTCCACGGTTTCAACATTGTTGCATCAGCTAGATTCTGCCAGTTCATTTGTTGTCTAGGTAGGGAGACATAGTTCTGGAGCTCTGTAATCTTCTTTATGCCCACATTTTCCTTCTTTTTTTTTTTTTTAAGGTTTTATTTTTAAGTAACCTCTACACCCAATGTGGGGCTCAAACCCACAACCCCAAGATCAAGAGTTGCATGCCCCACCAAGTAAGCCAGCCAAGCACCCCCACTTTTTCCTCTTAACTCACATTTATTTTACAAGTTTTGGTATCTTCTTTCTTCTTCCTCAAGTAATGTTGAAGATGAGGACTTGGATAGAAATCTCAGTTATGAAGTTATTTCTTATCATTTGGGGAAGTAATGTTGAAAATTTGCTTACACTGACCTACCATTGTCTTCAGTTAGCCAGAAGGCTTTGGTATTTACTATTTTTAAGTTTATTTATTTTGAGAGAAAGGGAGAGAGAGAGAGAAAGAAAAGTGAGCGGGGGAGGGGCAGAGAGAGGAAGAGAGAGAATCCCATGCAAGCTCCATGCTGTCAGTGCAGAGCCTGACACGAGGCTCAATCTCATGAACCAAGAGTTGGATGCTTAACTGACTGAGCTACTCGGGCACCCTAGTATTTACTACTTCAACAGGAGTTTTTATCATTCTATAAGTATTCTAATTTTCTGCTTAGAAAGTATTTTTTTAAGTGAAAGTATTTTTTTAAGGGCTTGTCTTTTGTATATTGATATTTCTAAATTCATGTGCAGCAAACTGACTTTTAAAATTGGAGGTCTCGGGGCCCCTGGGTGACTCAGTCAGGTAAGCATCTGACTCTTGGTTTCGGCCTGGGTCTTGATCTCATGGTTCCTGAGTTTGAGCCCTGCATTGGGTTCCATGCTGACAGTAAATAAAATAGCGAGTTTTTTTTATTAGATATGATCTTTAAGAGGAAAAAGATTAATCTATTCACTTCTATTGCAAGAAATAACAAAAAGTGGAAGAAGATTCCATTTTTAGTTTTATTATGAAAAGTGTAAACATGGGAGGGTAGGAGTGGTAGAAAGGGAAGGTGCTATTGCACAGGGCAGCCTCGTGACAAAGTATTATCCATCCAAATGTCACCTGAAGTAGAGGAATCCTGATCTCGACATAGGATTTAAAATATTTTTATGTATTTGCTTTAAAATATCTTTATAACAATGAGTCGGTCCATCCAAGAATAGGAGAGGTCATTTCATTTGTTCAGATGTAATTTAATGTCATTCAAGACTATTTTCAAATTTTCTTCATAGAAGTTTTTTTTACATTTCCTGTAAATTCATTCCTCTAATCTTTTGTTAGGGTCAATGAAGGTTATTTACTGTAGCATGTCAATTTTCTATTCTACTACATCACTGACCAAGTTTTTATTGTTGGGTTTCTGGAGTTATGAAGATGGAGTATAATATCACCAGCAGTAGGGGTAGTTTTACTTCCTTTTTACTCATCCTTGTGCATCTGATATTTCTTATGTAACTGTACTGATTAATACATCTAGTACAATAAAGGGAAACTAATGGGCATCCTTGTCTTGTTCTTGATCATAGTGGAAATACCTCTAGTGTTTCTTCATTAAGCAGGAGCGCCTGGGTGGCTCAGTCAGTTAAGTGTCTGACTTCAGCTCAGGTCATGATCTCACCATTCATGAGTTTGAGCACCACATCAGGCTCTGAGCTGACAGCTCGGAGCCTGGAGCCTGCTTCGGCTTCTGTGTCTCCCTCTCTCTCTGCCCCTCCCCAACTCACACTCTGTGTGTGTGTGTGTCTCAAAAGTAAACATTAAAACTTTTTTTTAAAAGATACTGGTTTTAGGAGTAAAATATATGTATTTTAGCATGTTGAGGAAGTATCCCTCAATTCCTATTTTCTTCAGTGTTTTACTGCTGATTTTTTTGAAGGCTTTCTTGTCTCTGAATATGCTCATACTTTTCTCCCTTAGGCATATACATTAAAATAAATACTGCAGTAAGTGGTATAATAAAGAAAATGGATTGTGAAAGGGGACACAGAGGAGTTAACACTGGAACTTAGTCTGAAGGCTACAGAAAAGTTTGGCAGGTAGAAAAAGGAATGGCATTCATTCAGCAGTAGAAATGATTTCATTAATGAGAACGATGATTTAGAAATAATGTGTAAGTCTGTCATAGGCTTTGGATACCAGAATGCATGTCCTAATCCTCTAATCCTGCCTCTCCATTCATTCTTCTGGTCACTTATAGAATCTCATCTTTCTTTTTTTTTTTTTAATGTTTATTTTTGAGAGACCGAGAGAGAGCACGAGTGGGGAAGAGGCAGAGAGAGAGGGAGACAGAATCTGAAGCAGGCTCCAGGCTCTGAGCTGTCAGCACAGAGCCCGACACAGGGCTTGAACCCACGAACCATGAGATCATGACCTGAGCCTAATACGGATGTTTAACTGACTGAGCCACCCAGGCGCCCCAACTCTCACCTTCCTTAAATGAGCTTCCTTGATGTTTTTAGTCACCCTGTCCTTCTGCCCTCATCCATTACTGTTTATTTTTTCCTCTTGCTACTATCTTTTAGCCAGAAAGCAAACCCTTATTTAGATATCATTCTTTGTACACATTAAGACTCATGTGAATGAGTCATGTGAATCATAAGCATTTTTTTTTCCAGGATATAAGAGCAGTCCTAAAACTACAAAGTCGACTCAAACTCAAGATTCATTATTTCAGGAGCTAATAAGGAAAAGACTCAAAAGGGATGAACCCTGGGATTTCATATCAGAAAAACCCTGCATATATGAAGACAGATTAAAGAAACAAAAGGACAAAACTGAAAGTTTACAAATAATTTCAGTCACCCGTACAAAAATCCTCACGGTAGAAAGAAGCCATAAAAATACTGACTGTGGCCAAAATTTCACCCTGAAATCAGTCTTTGTTAAGCAACCGAGGGTTGCTCGAGAAAAAACACCCTCAAAATGTGAAATACAAAGAAATAGCTTCAAGCAGAATTCAAATTTACTTAACCAACCAAACATCAACACAGCAGAGAAATGCTATAAATGTAATATATGTGAAAAAGCCTTCATTCACAATTCATCCCTTCGTAAGCATCAGAAAAACCACACTGGAGAAAAATTATTTAAATGTAAAGAATGTTCGAAAGCTTTCAGCCAAAGTTCAGCTCTTATTCAACATCAAAGAACTCATACTGGAGAGAAACCCTTTATCTGTAAAGAATGTGGGAAAGCTTTCAGCCATAGTGCGTCCCTCTGTAAACACCTAAGGACCCATACTGTGGAGAAATCCTATAGATGTAAAGAATGTGGTAAATCCTTCAGCAGAAGGTCCGACCTTTTTATACATCAAAAAATCCACGCTCGAGACAATCCCCATAGATATAATCCGGGGAGGAAGGCATCCGGCCTTTCTCGGTGTCAGAGAATTCACCTCAGAAAGAAGTCCTATTTATGCAACGAATGTGGAAATGCCTTCAAGTCCAGCTCATCCCTGCGTTACCACCAGAGGATTCACACAGGAGAGAAACCTTTCAAGTGCAGTGAATGTGGGAGAGCCTTCAGTCAGAGTGCGTCTCTTATTCAGCATGAAAGAATTCACACTGGAGAAAAGCCCTATCGATGTAAAGAATGTGGAAAAGGTTTCACTTCCATCTCCCGACTTAACAGACACCGAATAATACATACCGGTGAGAAAATATAAAAATGTAATGAATGTGGTAAAGCCTTAAGTTCCCACTCGACGCTTATCATTCAAGAAAGAATTCAAACTGGAGAGAAACCATGTAAATGCAAAGTGTGCGGAAAAGCCTTCCGGCAGAGTTCAGCTCTCATTCAGCACCAGAGGATGCACACCGGAGAAAGACCCTACAAATGCAACGAGTGTGGGAAGACATTCAGGTGCAACTCCTCCCTTAGTAACCATCAGAGAATTCACACAGGAGAGAAACCGTATCGCTGTCTGGAATGTGGGATATCCTTTGGCCAGAGTTCAGCTCTTATTCAGCATCGCAGGATTCATACAGGAGAGAAGCCCTTTGAATGTAACACGTGTGGGAAAAGTTTCAGACAGAGCTCATCACGGATTGCCCATCAGAGAATTCATACTGGAGAGAAACCCTATGAATGTAATACATGTGGGAAACCTTTCAGCCAGAGGTCATCCCTTACTAATCATTATAAGATCCACATTGAGGAGGATTCCTTGAAAGTAGATTTGCATGTGTGCAAGCCTTAAACCAAAGCTCATCACAGGATACATACTTGAAATTGATTTAATAGATGTAACAAACATGAGAAAACTTTTTTATTTTAATTTTGTCTCCATCAGATTATTCTAAGGATAAAACAGCCTTGAGTACGTAATAAATATGTGGAAAACTTTTGTACCTGTCAGTCACTTTTGAAAATATCCCAAGACAAGTAAACCACAGTTGCAAATACTGATTTTAACCACTTGTAAGATAAAAGATGGGGTTTTTCTATCTCTTTATAGAGCACTATACACTAGGTGTGATAGGTAAAGATGAGAAAAATCTGGGGGTAGGAGTGCTGGATTTCTCAAAGACACCGACTGTATGAGCCGGTAGCAAAACATATGCTTATGTAGACCAAATAATAGATAAAAAACAAACTGCAAACTACCTCAGTCTCTGGAATTTGCCTTTTCCAAATCTGTTGTCAAACGTTGTGCATTGTTATCATTAAAAAAGAGAAAGAAAAAAATCTGTTCTCTTACTCTATTATTCTTCTAGTTTTTTCTAAACTACATCTAACAATCTCCCAAATTTTTAAAACAATTAAAAAAAAATTTTTTTTAATGTTTATTTACTTTTGAGAGATAGATCATGAGTGGGAGATGGGCAGAGAGAGAGGGAGACAGAATCTGAAGCAGGCTCCAGGCTCTGAGCTGTCAGGACAGAGGCCCACGTGGGGCTCAAACCCATGAACTGTGAGATTGAGCCAACCAGGTGTCCCTAAAACAATTTCTAATTTTTTTCTCAGAATTACTTCTTAGTTGCCTCGAAGTCATTTACTATTTAACTGTACTTGCTATGTTCTGAACACTTTGTTAATTTAAGTAGAAAAATAAAGTTTTTTTTAATTTCAAGGTTAAGGCTATTAATATGTTTTTAGTTGGCTGCAGAAGAAATCCTAAGAAGTAATTAAAGAACATGTCACTGTGGCAGTCTTGAAAATGAATCAATTTCATGAAATAAAAGCATCTTTTCCCTACTTGATCTTTTCAAATTAAAAAAAAAAATCAGACTGCAAAGGCAAATAAAGGAAATAATTCTAAGCCTTAGAAATGGTTTGCTTAATCCCAGGTTTGAGCCAAGCACTATCCCGGGCACTGGCAATTGTACGGAAGAAAGCAACAGGCCCTATCTTCAAGAAGTCATGAATTGAGAGAATGGGGTTGGAGGGAATAGTGAATAAACAAGCAAATTATCGTAATGTGTTGAAGTATTTTTCACAGAGAAGAGATGTTACAATGATACTGTGTTATAGAACATCTTATAAAGATTTAAACAGGATTAAGAAAGGAGGAATGGAGCCTAACCAAGGGGCCTTGACCATATATATAGTGACCCAGAGACAGTGATGCCTGAGCCCAGTTTTGGAAGAATAGAAATTTTCCAGATAGTAAGATAAGTACTTCCTTTGAAAAAAAAAAAGTATTTTGAAAGAGCGTGTGCATGCTTGAAAGCAGGGCAGTGGCAGAGAGAGAGAGAGAGAGAGAGAGAGAGAGAGAGAGAGAATCCCAAGCAGGCTCCAGGCTGTCAGTGCAGAGCGTGCCATGGGGCTCGATCCCACAAACTGTGAGATCATGACCTGAGCCAAAACCAAGAGTTGTCTGAGCCACCCAGGTGACCTAATTCTAGCCTTCTGGCTCATAATTCTCTTTTAAATCTCAGTATGATCAACTGAACATGTACAAAATCACACTTGTGCCTGTATTGCCTACTTAGTGAGTGGCACCATCATCCATCCAATTAATTGGGCAGAAGCCTGGGAGTCAACCTCACTTCCTACCTAACTCACCTCTCCCGATTATTTGAATGCACAAACCATGCCATATTCTAGCATATTAATATTTGTCACATGTTCTTCACCCCACTGCCTCTGCTTGAGTTTAGAGCCTCATTTACCTATCACTCAAGTTACTGTTAACAGCCCATACTTCTAAGCTTCAGTCTGTTCAGTTGTCTTCGACCTCCTAAACTCATTCTCCACACATTATCATCAGAGCAGTTTCCCTTACATATAATCTTTACTTGGTTCCATAATTTCAGAATCAAATTCAAATTCCTTAGAATAGCAATTAAGACCTTTGATTATCTGGCCTCTGCCTTCTTCTCAAGCTTCAACATCTGTCATTCTCTTCATTACTTAATAGATGTTCTATAAATGTGCTGTGCTATCACCCACCAGTACCTTTGCATACGTGGCTTCCTCTCTTTGAAGTACTGATCTCACTCAGGGAGCATTTATGTCAGCTGGTGGGAGATGATAAACCCTTAAATGGGAAGGTCAGGAATCAGCATCACTGGCAGAAGAAACATCTGATCACTGTACTCACAGATCTGTCAGGAAGCATCTGTGTGTCTGGATATTATTCGGGTTCAGTAATGAACGAAAAAATCTGAAAACTGGCAGAACGAAAGCATTTTAACGAAGGAATTCCTGGTCTGGAAGGGCTCCTCCTTTGCTTCAGGAAATGTGACATCTGTTTGTAAGGGGCATCGTTTACTGGGCTACTGACCAGGATTCTGTGGGCAAAGTCAGAGCTCCAGGTACATGGAGTCTGTCATCCATGGAGCTGCCCTGTGGGCCGGGACAGGAACTCAGGGCTTGCAAAGGTCCTAAGGCTGGGGTGAGAAATACAGAGAGAAAGAAAATGGATTTTAGATTGTCGTGATCAGAAGGCTGCTCTTGTCCCTGAGTTTCTTCTTCCTTTGCTGCCTTAGAATGTTTAATATTTCACTTAGCATAATACCCTCTAGGTCCATCCACGTTGTCACATATGACAGCAGATATCATCCTCTGTATGAATGAGTGATAAACCATTGTGTGTATATATACCACTTCTTTCATATGCATTCATCTATCAATGGTGGACACTTAGGTGGTTTCCATATCTTGGCCATTGTAAATAATGCTGTAGTAAACACAGGAGTGCAGGGGCACCTGGGTGGGTCAGCCAGTTAAACTCATTTCAGCTCAGGTCATTATCTCATGGTTTGTAATCCTGAGCCCCGCATCAGGCAGCTCAGAGCCTGCTTGGGATGCTCTCTCTCTCTCTTTCTCTCTCTCTGTCCCTCCTCCACTCATGCCTTCTCTCTCTCTCTCAGAATAAACTTTAAAAACAACATAGGGCATATATCTTTTCACATTTGTGTTTTTGTGTTCTTAGGGTAAATACGCAGTAGTGAAAGTATTGGATCATGTGGTATTTCTATTTTTAACTTTTGAGGAACCTCCATACTGTTTTCCACAGTGGCTTCGCCAACTTATATTCCTACCAAACAGTGTACAAGGGTTCCTTAAGTCAGACTGAGAAAGACAAATACCATATGATTTCTTTTATATGTGAAATCTAAAAAAACAAGACCAAAAACAAAAATGCAAACAAAAAGCAGAATCATATCTATAAATATACAGGACAAACTATGAAGGGGGGATGGGTAAAATGGGTGAGGGAGAGTGGGAGGTACAGGCTTCCATTTATGGAATGAATAAGTCACAAGAATAAAAGGTACAGCATATGGAGGCACCGGGGTGGCTCAGTTGGTTGAGCATCCAACTTTGTCTCTGGTCATGATCTCACAGTTTGTGGGTTCGAGCCCCGTGTCCAGCCCTGTGCTTACAGCTCAGAGCCTGGAGCCTGCTTCAGATTCTGTCTCTGTCTCCCTGCCCCTTCCCTGCTCACGCTCTCTCTCTCTCTCCAATATAAACACTAAAAATTAAAAAAATAGGTACAGCATATGGAATATACTCAATGATAAGGTAATAGCATGGTATGGTGACAAACGGTAGCTACACTTGTGAACATAGCATAGTGTATAAACCTAACTAATCACTATGTTATACACCTGAGAGTAACGTAACATTTGTCAACTCTACTCAAGTTAAACAGAAAGATTTTTAATAATTCAGTTGAGGCACCTAATTTAAAAATCTAAAAGATATTTTAACATGAGGTAATCCATTAATGCCTTACCTGTGAATCTGTTAAAATATGGGAAATCACAGTATTGAAAATAATAATCTAATGTTTTAAGAACTAAGCTAGCAAGCAATATGGCATTTTAAGGCAATAAAGAATCCCGAGCTTCCCATTCTGTCTGTAATGAAATCACCAGATCTCCACTTCCCTGCAGCATCAAATGAGTAAAAAGCCTGATGAACTACATGGAGCATAACAACAGGAGTGCAGGACAGTGTCTGGAGGCAGAAACCCCCGTGTGACACAAGGCCCCTGGCTGCCCCAGCTCAGTGCTTCTGGACCTTCCAGGGTGCAGAGAGGAAGGGATCCAGCAGAGAGTGGGAGTTCCCCTGAGGAAAAGAAATAGGGATGACAATTTGAGGAGGGAAATGCAGCCTTAGGTCCAAGTACCAAGGACGTATGTATGTACTTGCTGCAAGGAGGGCGAAGTTTAATTTAAAAAGCTTAGAAGAGTCTGACGACAGTGTGATAAAGGAAATAATCTGTTAGCGTGACTGGCCCCATCTAAATAGTCCCTTTAGCTAAATTTTTAGAGAAGTTTCTAATATTTTTTAAAAATGTGTAATTGGAATTGTTGTGAAATTGTGTGGTTTTCCTGATATCAATTCTTTGAAATGTTTAAGACTACAGCCTAGCATGAGGTCATTTTTTAAAGTGTGTTAAAAAATGTGTTTTCATTAATTTTGGAATGCAATATTCCACGTCTCTTCGTTAAATCAAACTTGTGAATTCTGCTGTTCAGAAATTCCGTATCTTCGGTGACTTTTTCTTGGGAGGGGGGGACTGGGGATCAGCTTTTCTATCAGTTACTGATAACGGCAGGTAAAAACACCTTTGTAATGGATTTGTTAATCTCTTTGGTCAATTTTTGCTTTATATATTTTGAAGCTACATTGTTAAATACGTAAGAGTTTATTAATCTTTTCTTGGTGAATTAACTTTTTGTTGATATGTAATTACTTTTCCTACTTCGTTATGTTTTTAACATGTTATTTTGCTTTAAGTGTAGCCACATGAATTTTCTTTGTTTAATATTTGCCAGGTGTATCTTTTTCCATCTTTCTCCTCTTAAGATGTGTGTATCCTTGTTTTAGCATATAGCTATGTTTTTAAAACTCCAGTCTTACAGTATTTTTTAATTGTAAAGTTCATTCCATGTGCATATCTAGTGGTTACTGATAGACCTAGGTTTATTGTTACCATCTCCTTATGTACCTTTAGTCTACATTTTTGTTTCTGGGTTGTTAGGTTTTTTTGTGGATGTGGTTTATGTCATGTTATGGTATGTTGTTATATTATGCTATGTTATGTTATTTATTTATTTTGTCTTCCCTCTCCCCTATCCCATATCCTCTGCCTACTTGTTTGGAAATTGCATGCTCTATGTTGTAAGTTTTATCAACGACCATTTCTATACCAGAACAACTCTGATGAATATGTTCATGTAGTTGCTAATGGAAGAATGCCCTGTAGTGGTGGAGAAACTGTTGGTTCAACGTATTTGTCTCACTGCGGTGACATATTTTTTTAATTAGTTTAGTACTATCTGCATTACCTTACTAATCCTGGATAAATGAATCGTGAAGACTTTCATATTTTTAAATATTTTGCAACAGGTGAGACAGCTCTCAAAAGGAAATAGTTCAATAAAGATAGTAGTTATACGTAAAGAAATATTTTATTCAATACTACTGCAATAGGAAGAGTCTTTAGTGAAATTGAACTCCACTCCCAATATAGCAAAGACAGCTGAGGATTTACAGCAACAAATAGAGTAAGGGGATCACTGGATGGAAAATTACGAAAAGGAGACAGCAAAATTGGGGGATTCTTGCAAAGCTGTCTCAATAGGATTCTTGCTAAAGGCAGGACAAGGACGTAGACAAGAGTAGAGGGTAAGAAACTTGATCAGTATCAAGAATGGGGCTTATACCTAAACTGACTTAATGGGATTCTTTCTAAAACTAGGGCTCCGCTGGACAAGGACTGGGACCAAAGATGTGGCCTATAGGACTCAGAGGGAAATGTCTTAAGTTTGGTCAAGTCTCTGTCACAGCGGTAGAAAGAGGCAGAGGAAACTAGCAGTTATCTTTATAAAAAGAAATATTACAATCTATCGTACCTTGTTGATCTCCTGCGCTACCCAAAGTCATCTATTTCTCCAGTGTTCCAGCACAGTAATCCCCACTGAAACAACTCTGGCCATATATTTAACTGGAGATTTTTGCTGCGTTCCACGATGGCAATCTTGAAGCACTCAGCGTAGCGCCTGACACTGAGCTAGAGTGCGGGGCACCGTAATCACCATTCACGGAGTGCCCACTAATGATGCGGCAAGTTACTACCTTCTGACAAACTTTGCAGGTGGCTGGTTATTTCACAAGAGGAAAGTGAGGCTGACCTAAGGCTCTCCGCCCCTTCTCCCCTCCGCATGGGTTAGGCACCCACAGGCTCTAACGAGGAGGGGCTTACTTAGGGTAGCCGGGTTAAGGTCGCCACGCAGTCCCCTCCCAGCTGCCCAGGACAAAATCTCGCTAACAGGAGACGGCCATGCTGGAAGCCACCACGGTCCTTCTGGCGAAATCGCCCCACCCTCCCGCGGGCTCGCGCCTGCGCACTCACTCCGGCGCCGCATCCCTGCGGCCTTGTGGGAAATGTAGTCCGGCGCCCCGGGCGTAGGCGCCGGCAGGACTGCGTCCGCACTGGCTGCTCCTGCCCGGCTCGGAGACGTAGAGGGTGAGTGCGGCGCCGCGGCGGGACCCTTCGGATCGGGCTGGCGCCAGGCAGAGACCCAGGCAGCAGGCGGCCGGGACGGCCCGGAGAGGCCCCTGAGGGGCGGGGCCGGCGGTGGATGGGCCCGAGGCAGCGCTTTCTCCGTCCCTGCGCGACGCCGGGCCGCTTGCTCCAGGTGCGCCCTCTCTCGTCCCGGGAGCCCTGCCGGGTGGGAATACCGAGAGCTGAGGGCCGCCACCTGTCGGGAGCGGCGAGGGCGGGGGACCTGGTGCGGCCCTCCAAAGGGCCAGTGAAGGGCCGAAGGCTCTGGAAGTCCAACGCAGGCTGGGTTCCTCCCCGCCGGCTTTCTCCGGGCCCCGCTTTAGAAGTCTCGGGGGGATGCTGCACCCGGTGCGCTGTCTCGGGGCTCCTGCACCTGCCCTTTGTGTAGACCTCGTCTTGCGGACGCGCCCTCTGTGATTTCCCGATTCCGAGCGGTCCTGGCGTGGACTCCCCCTGACCCATCTCCTCAAGGAATAGGGGGGCCAACCCCGTGCAGATTTCTATTTCAGAGAATCCTTTTCTTCCCTTTCTTAAAGCAATTTTTTCTCCTCCTCCCCCACCCCGCAAAAAGAAAAAGTTCACTAGAGGAAAACTAGAAAATGCAGAGGAGCTAAAGGAAAAAATTATCTGAAAACTGCCAAAGTCTGCGTGTTGGCATATATATGTGAATGAAGGTTGAAACGCTTTGTTTTTACACAAAGATGTGGACATTAATGTCCTTTTCTTCATTTACTATTAATGAGTTTTGTGGGGCCCCTGGGTGCCTCAGGTCGTGATATCCCGGTTCTTAGTTCGAGCCCCGCATCGGGCTCTGTGCTGACAGCTCAGAGCCTGGAACCTGCTTCAGATTCTGTGTCTTCTCTCTCCCTGCCCCTCCTCTGTTCACATTCTCTCTCTCTCTCTCTCAAAAATAAACATTAAAATGAGTTTTGAAATACATTTGTAAAGGGTTTAAAGTGCACAAATGTTAAGCTCTGCAATTTTTTACAAATGTTTGTATCTGTGTAAGTACCACTTGAGCCAGGTGGATAAAAAACTTTTTACAAACGATTTTTTGAAAACATCTAGTTATACCAATGTTTGAAAACAATTCTCATTTTAAATTAGAGTGTGAGAGGGGCGCCTGGGTGGCTTAGTCGGTTAAGCGTCCGACTTTCGCTTAGGTCATGATCTCGCGGTTCGTGGGTTCCAGCCCCGCGTCGGGCTCTGTGCTGACTGCCAGCTCAGAGCCTGGAGCCTGTTTCAGTCTGTGACTCCCTCTCTCTCTGACCCTCCCCTGCTCACGCTGTCTCTCTCTCTCCTAGAAATAAATATAACATTAGAGTGTGAGAAAAAGTACCCTTGTGCCATATTCACTCCTTTAAGCCTCTACTCTTTCTCAGCTTTTCTCCCCCGCCGCTCCCCCCCCCCAATCTCTTGTAAACAATATAGGCCATCTGGCTACACATATCTTTGCATTCTTGTGTCGTTCTTTAAATCTCTTCACATGAAATTTTTGGGTCATACTGTAAGGCTTTTGTTACCTCCCATCTTATTCTTTCCAGAAAAGTAGTAGTTTGTAAACATTTGCAATGGAAATGTGCCTGATGGACCCACATCAAGTCTGGGTGTTCCTGTTCTCTGAGAAGGTTGTTTAAATTTGCATTGTGAACACTTATGAATATTTTTATGCAGTTTTTTGTTTTTAAATTTTGTATGAGGGGCACCTGGGTGGCTTGGTCGGTTACACGTCGGACATTGGCTCAGGTCATGATCTCAGGGTTCGTGGGTTCAAGCCCCGCGTCGGGCTGTGTGCTGACAGCTCAGAGCCTGGAGCCTGTTTCAGATTGTGTCTGTCTCTCTCTCTCTGACCCTCCCCGGCTCACACTGTCTTGTCTCTCTCAGAAATAAATAAAACGTTAAAAAAATGAGAAAAATTTTTGTATGATACACAGTGTTTTCTAACTAGGCAGAAGTGTTACATTTTCATATGGTTAGACCTGAAAACCATCCCTTCAAGTCTGTGTCTTTGGACATTACTGTGAGGGGGCCTTCTATCCCATTATGATCACAAAAGCGTTCATTTGCACTGTCTTCTAGTACTTTAGCTTCATTTTATGTGCAAACTTGTATTTTCCAAATGTAAGCCCTTGTTCTAAGTCCTAGTTCATCCTTTTTTCACTGATCTGAAATGTCACTTTTTCATATCTTGAATTTGTATTTATAAAGTTTTTTCTTAACCGTTGGTGTTGGAAGGATTTTAATTTGGTCTGCTGACCCACTGCTCTGCTAGATTATAATCTGTGAGAGCAGAAGATATATCTGTTTTGTTTATAGCTGTATTTGCCCTCTCCCCTAGGAGTGGTACACAGTAGGTGGTCAACAATATATCCGGGGAATGACCCAGCCTATTCCATAACACTGTATGCTAATTATTATAACTTTATAGATAACTGGTGGGCAGGTCCTCCCTCGTCATTCTTCCAAGTGTTTTCTGGCTGTTGTTAAACAACACAATTTTAAAAAAATCTTTTCCGTAATGATCTTTAAAATACTATTACTTGGAATACTTGGTGTGATGTTTATAAATTAATTTCAGGGAAGTGACAACTTAAGGATACTATGACATCCTATCCAGGAATGTGCTATGTGTCTCTGTTCATCCTTCTTTATGAATCTAAATAAGCTTAGTAAAATAAAGTTCATAAGTAAAAATTCCAGTTTTCCTTCAGTCAATACCACACATATCTTATTTGGTTTATGTGTAGGTATTTTGATTTTTGCTGTTGCAGGAGCCTCATTTCTCGTGGCTTCTTTTCCTTCCCTCAGCTCCGCCTCCTCAGGATCCTGCCCGTCCCCTAGGAAGGACCCCACAGGAAGGCAAGAGAAGGCAATGGCTGCTGGGCCTCTGCCACTGGGAACTCAGGTGAGCTCCTTCTCTCTGAAACCTCTCCCTTACTCCCTACTACTTACTCCCATACCGTACGTGGGCTTCACTGTAGAGGATGGGGCTACGGAGATCTCCAAATTTGAAAATTTCCCACACGGCCCCCGTTAGTGTCCCTCAGTTCTGTCCTCAGCTGCCACTTCCTCATTCAGCTGGAAGCCCTGGACTGCTGAGCTTTTGATGCCGCTCAGGGGGTCACAAAAGGAGCGAAAATCCTGTGAAAGATGGTCTGGGTGCCTACAGCGTTTACAGACTCCCAGGGAATGTAAAAGAAGTCACTTCTCTACAAGATACAGTCGTGATGATCGCATGTGTAAAGGATAATAAGAACAAGCATGGCCAGGTATCCGAACTGTCAGTGTCATGAGACCTGGAGGAGGACATGAGTGTGGCAGCCAGGAGAAGTAAGGTTAGATAGTGATAACCGGGGAAGAGTTGCCGGGATGGAGTTAAAGTGTCCCCAGATTAAACCCTGATGCTGCCATTAATACCTGCATTGTCTTGGGTAAGTAACCTGACTTCCCCGAAGTTCCTCACGGGGATGATGGAAATAACCACATTAACTGAGCATGTGCCCCATAGTTGACGTTGGTAATCATTACACATGGTTCATTTCGTTTAAAAATATGTACTTCCGATGTCTGTTGAAGCATGAAAGAATGTAAGTAAAAAGTGCCCAGCATAGTTGCTGGATGTTAAAGGTACTCTCCGTAAGGCATTCTTAGCCTTATTCCGGCTTGATGGAACAAATATGGCGGCGACTTGTGGTCGGAGGGAATCAGATACAAAGTTTGGGGTCAAGTGCCAGAAAGGAGGAAGGAGTTTGTGTGTTTGGTAGGCATGGAGGGGGAAAAGGAGGAATTTTGATAAGGGAGTTGGCATGTTCCTAGCTTTCCTAGGAAGAAGCAGTGTCCCATTAGCTAACAGAAATCGTGCAGGGGCTCCTAGGTGGCTCAGTCAGTGAAGCCCCTGACTTCAGCTCAGGTCATTATCTCACAGTTCATGAGTTTGAGCCCCACGTCGGGCTCCAGAGCCTGGAGCCTGCTTTGGATTCTGTGTCTCCCTCTCTCTGCCCCTCCCCTGCTTGTGCTCTGTCTCCCTCTCTCTAACAAATAAACATTAAGAAAAATTTTTAAAAAGAGAAAGAAAGCATGCAGTGAAAGAGTAGTGAGAAGCCCAGGGTGTTTTTTTGTTTGTTTGTGTTTTATTTTGTTTTGTTTTTTTGCCCTGGGAGATTGCTTAAAAATGGAACCTATTGGTTTTTACTAGAACCTGAAGTTGTTGCCTCTCTGGAAAAAGATTAAGAAATCAGGGGGACTTGGCCCCTAAATTTTTGTTTTTCTTTTTAAGGTTAGGCTTCTGTAACCTTCTCTGCAATCCTGCAGGAGTTGTGTTTTCTCTGTTCATAAGATCAGATATGTCACTTGTTTATTGATCAAAGGAACCAATTTAAAGAAGGCTTCATGAAGACAAGTATTAACTGTTGTGATTTCTGTTTTGTACTACTTTCTCCCCTTTGTATTGTCAAGCTCCTTTATAAAAGGCTTCATAACTCACTGAAACATAGGCAGAAGAAAGAGGGAGTTTCTGGAAAAGAAGGTTTAAAGAAGGTGTTCAGAAGATTTTGGTTGATGAAGGTTGTGGTTTGGCTCTCAGCAGCCTTGATTCTATTTAGTTAAAACAGTGTTAAGGTTTTAAGTCAGCTTTTTTCTCAGGTATAATTTATATAAAATAACCCTTTTTAAGCATATAATTCATTGAGGTTTGACACATTTATGCACCAACATGATCACTGCCCCAATCAAGCTAGAGAACATTTTCGTCACCCAAGAGGGTGTTGTCACCCCCATCCGGTGTACATCCCCCGTCCCAGACAGTCACTAATTTGATTTCTGAATACTTCAGGATGTGTTTCCTAAAAACAAGCTCTTGTTTTATGTAACCAAAATACAAGTACTGAACAGGGAGGTTACATGGATACAGTACTATTAGCTAATCTGTTGACCTTACACATATTATGCCACAAATGTCCTTTGTCTGGTCCAGAACCCAGTCTAGATCACAACTGGCATTCAGCTGCCACCTCTCCTTAGCCTTCCTTATCCTGGAACAGCTCCTCAGTCTGTCTTCGATGACCCTGACACTTTGACTTGGGACATATCAGTGCAGCATTGGAGCTGTTCATTTTTCGTCTTTCCCCTATTGGCCAGTGATGCGACTATGAATCGCCCAAGTATGACTTGTATTTGTCCTTAAATTTTATCTTCTTGGGGCGCCTGGGTGACCCAGTCAGTTAAGCGTCTGACTCTTGGTTTCGGCACAGGCCATGACCTCACGGTGTGTGAGTTCAGGCCCCACATTGGACTCTGTGCTGACAGAGCAGAGCCTGCTTGCAGTTCTCCCTCTCCCTCTCTCTCTGCCCCTCCCCTGCTTGTGTGTGCATGTTTTCTCTCTTTCAAAATAAAATAAACTTTAAAAAATTTAATCTTTTTCTGAATATAAATACTAGGCATATAGTTGTAAAAAAATTCTTGAGTCTATAATATATAATTACAGATCTCAAGACCTCAAAAATAAGCATTCTTCTTGCCTTTTAAATACCTATTTACACCCTTTGCCCAGTTTTATACTGGGTGGTTTATGTATAAAAGAAGCCTCTTATGTAATCTGGATATTAATCCTTTGCCATAAATTGCCAATATTATTTATTCTTTAGTAATTTTTTTAGTCATTTTTCTTTAGTAATTTTTTTTAGTCATTTTTCTTTAGTAATTTTTTTTAACGTTTATTCATTTTTGAGAGACAGAGACAGAGAGTGAGTGGGCGGGTGGAGACACAGAATCTGAAGCAGGCTCCAGGGTCTGAGCTGTCAGCACAGAGCCTGACACGGGGCTCGAACTCACAAACTGAGATCATGACCTGAACCAAAGTCAGACACTGAACCAACTGAGTCACCCAGGCACCCCATCTTTTAAATCTGTTTATAACATCTTCTGCTATAATAGGTTTTGGATGTTTTATGCAATTAACTTTCCTTTTCCTTTGTTTGGCTTTGGAATCAGGCTCTGGAAGGCTTTCTGTACCCTAAGATTATATAAACATTCTTCTACTTTTTCTCTTAGTTTTATCATGTTAAATTTACATCCTTGGGATATCTGGAATTTCTTGTATATAATGGGAGGTTGTAATCCAACTTCATTTAAAGATGTGGTGAAGCATTTCATCATCCTTCCATTTGCTAAACGGACTGAGCACCCGCCTACCACGTGTTCCGCAGCGTTCTGGACGCTACAGCGTTCTGGACGCTAGGAAGAGAGCAGTGAATGAGTCAGGGTGGGTCCCTTTCTCCTACATCCTGTCTTGGTGCAGCAATGAAGAAAAAATAACCTCCGAGGACACTGTTAGGTGATGTGGTGGCCATCCAGTAGGGTGGCATGGTGGAGTGTGACGTCAGTTTTAGCTAGGCAGAGCCGGAGTGGCACCTCTGAGGAGATGGCATTCAAGCTGATGTAATCTACTCACTAATGTACTTATTCTCCATAGATCTGAAATCCTATCTTTAATGTATACTCTATTTATACATGTTAAATAAAAACATATGTACGTGTCTGTATACACGCACAGGGTTTTCCGGATTCTGTTCTATTGCTCTCTCTTATAGTACCACACTATTTTATTTGTTCTTTTAGAATTTATTTTGTTGAAGCAAATCCCCCCTCCCCGTGATTTTCTTTTGAAAATTCTGCTTACTGTACTGTTCGTTTACATTTACCCTTATGGTCGAAATTTATTAACTATCATCAAGTTCCAACAGTAACAGCCTAAAAATATGCAATTCTGATTTGAATTCCATTAAATCTATATCAATTTGAGGAAGACTGCCATCTTTTACAATGTTTATTCTTCCTATTGAATAAAAAAACAACCCTTCATTTTATTCAGACCCTTCATTATGGCTTTTGTTAAGTTTGATCACATGGATCTCACATAATCCTATTAAGTATATTCTAAGGTGTTTCGTTTTTTGTTGCTATTGTGATTGAGATTTAACCACGATTGTGATTTTTTTTAACTGGATTGCTATCTGTATCTGAAAACATTCTGTTGCTGTGGTGACTCAAACGTCATCACTATCATACTTCCTTTATAATTATACTTTCATCATGTAAAATATCCCTATTCATTCCATTTGGTTCTCAACCTTTTCAAAGAATAACAATATCAAAAAGCATGTATTTTTAGTTTAAGAAAACCTTTTCATGAACAAGATAAACCCATGAAGCTGCTTATTTCAAACACCATGAGTTACTGTGTGCTTTTAACATAGTGGTGGGGAGAAAAAGACCCATATGGCGCAGGAAGGAGAAAGGGAAAAACATCTGAAGGGATTAGCAACAAATACATTTTATAGACAATAGGGATTAACAACAAATACATTTTATGAACAATATCATTAAGTTTCACTTTGGCATTTAAAATGCTCTTTTGTACTTAGTACTTATCTAAGTCTGTCTTCATGAGCCCTTTTATAGCTCAGGGATCCAGAATGTTTCATAATAGAGACCAGCTCTGCAGCACACTTGGGAGCTCTGGGCTTCAGGTGATGAGAATCCAGGGAAGTGGGAAGACCAGGGTATAGCCCGTAAGCATCTGAATCTGAGCTTTTAATTTTGCCCAATATATTCAGCTAACAAGGCAATTTATTGAAAAAAAAAAGTGGATTGATTTTTGGAAAGAGAATATCCTATTTCTTTCTTTTTTTTTTTTTTAATTTATTTCTAGGAGAGAGAGAGAGAGACAGTGTGAGCAGGGGAGGGTCAGAGAGAGAGGGAGACACAGACCCTGAAATAGGCTCCAGGCTCTGAGCTGGCAGTCAGCACAGAGCCCGACGTGGGGCTCGAACCCACGAACCGCGAGATCATGACCTAAGCGAAAGTCGGACGCTTAACCGACTAAGCCACCCAGGCACCCCAAGAATATCCTATTTCTGACATTACCTTCTTTCACAAAGAAGGGCTTATGTTTTGTTTCCACATACATTCTACCTTATCTGCTGTTTATATGTTCTCCTGTTTCTTCTTTTTTTTCTCCTTGCTTTCTTATTATTTGCATTTGCTATATCTTGTCTCTATCCCCCAAGTAGTTATTATTTAACTTTCTGGCTTGTGTTTTAGGTGTATCTCTTGTATGTGATAGATTTGAAACCAACTTGAGAGTTTTTGTCTTCTAAAAAATTTTTTCTTAAGTTTATTTATTTTGAGGTGGGGAGAAAGCATAAGCTAGAGAAGGAGAGAGAGAGAAAGAGAGAGAGAGAGAGAGAGAGAGAAATTCCAGCAGGCTCTGTGCTGACACATTACAGAGCTTGATGTAGGGCTTGAAGTCATGAACCATGAGATCATGACTTGAGCTGAAACCAAGAATCAGATGCTTAACCGACTAAGCCACCCAGGCGCCCCTAGAGTTTTTTGTCTTTTAATAGAGAAAGTCAGTCGTTTATGTATATTGTTATATAAGTACCAGGTCTTTTTCTGATTATTTAATGATCTATGTGTATTATGCTTTCTTGTGTCTTTTTTTTTTTTAAACATTTATTTTTGGTGGGGGGTAGGGAGAGAAAGAGAGAGGCAGGCATGAGTCAGGGAGGGGCAGAGAGAGAGACACACACAGAATCCAAAGCAGGCTCCAGGCTCTGAGCTGTCAGCACAGAGCCTGACGCGGGGCTTGAAACTAGGAACCATGAGATCATGACCTGAGCCGAAGTTGAACGCTTAACCCACTGAGCCACCCAGGTGCCTCTCTTGTGTCCTTTCTTTACATTTGTTAAACTGAAGATTTTTCTTGGTTCATTTTTTTCCTTTCATAAAATGGAAATTCTGCTGTGTAATTAGATCCTACTAATAGCTGTCTTTACATTTCTTGACAATATTTATGAGTGATTTTTAACATTTTTTATGTTGATATATTCATTAAATAGGAGAAAATGATGAGGTAGAAAGAGAATGAACTCTGTCTCGGTGTTGACACTTTTTTTGGTGGTTCACAGCCAGCAGGATGTAAAACACACATATTTCTTGGACATCATTTCTGTCCCCTCTGTGGTCTCAGGGCCTTTTCTGCCCTGTGCCCACTTACACAGCACAGCGACTCATCCACTGCTTTACTCCCATGATCTGGTCCCTACTTCTTTCCATACGTCTTCTTTCATCTTTTTCACAGAAGTTTGAAGTAATTTCATCTAGCTGCTTCTCATTCCCGTCTTCCATTTAGCCCTCCATCCACTGTAAGCGGACTTCTGCCTTCACCACTCTGGAAATTAGCTGATTTTCCAACCAGCAGCTCTCTTTTCAGTCATCATTCTGTTTGACCCACTCTCTCCTCCCTGAAACTCTCTCTCCCCGACCTGAGTCTCCTTCCCTCTCACTCCCTCCCCCCACGGCTCCCTCCCCCACTCTCTCTGATGGGGGTCGGTTGCAAGGGTTCTTTTCTTAGGTGCCTTCTCTTCTCACAACACGAGGAGTTAGATGTAGATGGCCTTAGGTTTGAGTCCCAGCTGTGTGACCTCGGAGATGTGATTTAACCATTAGATCCTCAGATTCCTCATCATAAAAGGTGCTCTCAGTCTAACAGGGTGTCGTATGGATTAAATGAGGTGAGGTGTCAGGCTCACCTGTTAGTGTAAACCTCAGGACGTTTGTGCTCCCTCCTTGTCAGGGTTCTTCAAAGAAACAGAACCCAGGGGACATACACAGATACAGAAAGAAGTTATAAGGAATTGGCCCAGGCAATTAGGGTGGCTAAAGAGTCCCCACGATCCGCCCTCTGCAATCTGGACCCTAGGAAAGTTGGGGTGTATGTAGTTCACTACAAATCCAGAGGCCTGAGGTCCAGGGGACTGATGTCTAAGTCCTGGTCCGAGTCTGAGGCTCAGGAGCTACAAGCACTGTCTGAAGGCCAGAGAAGGAGGCTATCTCAGCTCAAGCAGAGCCAGCAAATTTGTTCTCTCTTAGCCTTTTGTTCTTTTTGGGCCCTCAGTGAATACGGTGATGCCCTCCCACATTGCTGAGGGCTGATCTTTACTCAGTTTACTGATTCACGGGGAACACCCTCACCGAAGCACCTGGAAATAATGCTTTACCAGCTATCTGGGCATACTTTAGCCCAGTCAAGTTGACACATAAAAGTAACTGTCACACTCATTCAACAGATAATGCTTATGGTGTTTTGCTTCCTGGTCTAAGGGCTAGGGAACTAGGCTGAAATGGGCTTATAAATTTGAAATGCCATTTTCAGGTCAAGCTGGGTGTTTTCTTGGTCCTCTCAACATGTTCTAGATGTATCCTATTTGTACATGTTTTCCCTCCATTAACCGAGATTCCTGCCTATATTGTAAAGCCTGAAATTCCATGTGCTGCCTTGACAACTTTGAGCCTCACGGGGCCTCAGAGACTTAGCTAGGAGCTCCCCTGGTCCCCTTGTGCCAACCAAGAGGGAAGGGCACCCTACCCAGCTAGCTCTCCCTCGGCCAGACTAGGTGTACCCTTCCCTCCCAGGAACACAAACCTAATGGGTTTCGCTTCCCTACCAGCCCCCGGAACTGTTCAAACAAGCCAACTGCATCTTCCCAAGGTAGCCACGGGTCACCTCACCCTCTTGTCACTACCCAGCCTGCCTCCCACAGCCCCTGTCGGTTCACAAGGGCAGCCCCTGAGTGGCCCTGCATGGTGGGTATTTCCTCCTTCCCCAGGCTATGAGTAGATGTTACTGACAAATTGCTGTTGGTCTCTTCCGTCCAGTGCTAGGTGTCATGGGGTCAGTCATCTTGTGCTTCTTAAGGAGCGGGAACCCTCCTTCACCAGCGGGGTAAATGGGAGGCGATCAGACCACCACCTACTCTTCTCCGGTGGTAATCTAGAGCAGCCTTCCGTACGTTTCCTTGTTATTTCCTACTACCTCCTCTTCCTGTCCTCAAATGCCACAGCATTTTCTACATTATATTTATCTCTGATAATGTACATTTTTATTTAGTTTCTTTTGGCAGATAAAACATTTTTCTCACACAGATCTCTTTATCCTGTCCCTTCTAATGCTGCTTGTTTTTGCACTTCCCTGACGTGCTTTTATTGGCATAATCCTTGGAGCATGAATTTATAGTTTCAGGAGTCACTGACATTCAAGGATGTGCTGCAGATTTTACTTGGGAGGAGTGGCTTCATCTAGATTCTGCTCAGAGGAACCTGTATGGGAAAGTAATGCTGGAGAACTACAGGGACTTGGTGTCACTGGGTAAGGACCTCCCCTCGCAACTCAAAACCTCCCTGCTGACAGCCTTTCCCACCTCCTGACACCTTGTATGACCGAGGAAATTTCAGGAATCTGCACTTGCAATCCTGACATTATAGGTCATTGTTTTATGGTGGTTGCTTGGTGTCCTCTTTGGCCATGGGCTGGAAAATGGAACTGTCAGAAGGCCTGAGGGGGAAGTGACAAGGACAGGTCCCGGGAGTGGTTTTTATACTCCGTTCAGAACCCACATTTCATGTCTCCTCCTGAGCAGGCCATTGGCTTTCCAAACCAAGTGTGAGTTCTCAGCTGGAACTGGAAGAACTGAGCCTGGTGACAAAAGAACTTCCAGTGGACGTCTCTCCAGGTGAGTATCAGTAGGACTGGCTACATGAGCGTGTCCCCTTGGGAGAAAGCATGGCAGAGCTCCTTGGGTCCCTAGGAGAGGCTGCGCCACCGACTTGTATTCTCTCAAATGCCTCTGCCTCACACATGAGGCAAAAGTCCTTACCGTGGAGGCAAGGAATACTGGGTGCGGATTTAAATGAGTTACTATATTCGTAGGACTAATTGTGCATTAATTGCCTTGAACATCAGTGAATGTTAGCAATTATTATTTCCTCTTCTGTTTTCATCTGTACTCCGAATCCCTCTTTCTCTCTCTCTCTATATATATATATTCTCTTTCCTCTGTTTTCCGAGTGTTTCCTCTCAGCCATATCCTGTATCCATAGGTTTCTTCCCCTCATTCATTTAAAACTTTGGCAGCCTTTCTAAAGGAAACTAATGTTGAGTCGCATACTTGTACACGTGTTTTATAGTCTTCACTTAAAAACAAGTGAAGATGACTTTAGCCTTGTTATTTTCACTAATAACCTCACATCTTACATTTCCCTTTCTCTTTCCTAAATTTTTAATCTGCATCCCAATCTCCTCTAAGCATTTAATACATTTAGTCTTTTTTATCTGGCTTCTAATGCCCATCACAACTGAAATTTCTGTTAAATGTCATCATTGACTTTTCTCTGAAAAAAACACGTTTTACACCCTTTTATTTTCTACTCAATATGGAAGCATTAATCACTTCTTAATACATTTTCTAAATTAAAGAGATAGGCACATATTTTTTGATATCTGGATAGTGTATGGCTATCAAGTATAAAGCAATAAAGAAAATCAGTAAAACAACATAGTGATAAGAAAAATAGAATATTCTGAAAATTGCTGCTGGTTTCCAGTAAGCTTTTTAAAGAACTGGATTTTAAAGAATCACTGGGTCAAAAGATGTATTTTTTAGGGCTCCTGCTATGTACTGCATAATTGGATATTTTATGTCTTTTAATGCTAATTTATTAGGTATAAAATGGTTCCTTAAGGTAGCTTTAAGTGCCTTTACTGTAGATTTCTGTGGATTTGATTAGTATCACTATTTTTATTTATTCTTATGTAAATAACCTATTTATTCAACAAAAATTTTGTGAGCACTAGGCTCTGTCCCTAGCACTGTGGATATAGCAATGAACAAGACAGGTGGTTCCTCCACAGAGCTTATAGTCTAGTGGGAAGACAGTAAATTAATAAGGAAAGAAAGCAAGGAGGGAGAAGGGGCAGGAAAGGAAGCAAGGAAGGAAGGGAGGGAATGAATGAGTCCCAGTGCCATGTGGAAAAAGCAAGCAGCATAGGGGATCTAGACCAGGGAACAGAAGCTCTGTTTTCTTCCTTCCTTCTTCACCCTTTCTTTCCTTCTTTCTCTCTCTCTCTCTCTCTTTCTTTCTTTCTTTCTTTCTTTCTTGTTTGTTTATTTTTGAGAGCGAAAGAGAAAGAAAGAAAGAATGTGAGCAAGGAAAGGGCAGAGAGAGAGGGAGACACAGAATCCGAAGCAGGCTCCAGGCTCTGAGCTGTCAGCCCCCAACACGGGGCTCAAACTCATGAACCTCGAGATCATGACCTGAGCCGAAGTCAGGCGCTTAACTGACTGAGCCACCCAGGCACCCCACAGAAGCTCTGTTTTAGGAGTGATCAGAGAGGGCGTCTCCTTGAAGGTGCCTATTGAACACATAACTCACAAAGTGATGGGCTGTGTGGGAGAACATTCTGGGCATAAGGAACAGCAGGTGTAAAGTCTCTGTGGTCGACTGCATGGCCTTGTCTGAAGGGAGGAGTGCCAGGAGACATGAAGATTTCCTTAAACTTATTCTGTCGAAGTCCTTCTCTGAAAAAATTTACTTATATTTTTAAATTTCTGTGAGCCTTTTCATTCTGAGTTTTCCTTTTTTATAGCAATCTTTTTTGATGCATGCATTAATGTCTCATCTAAAGGAGAATGTTTATGTTTTTGGTTTGTTTTTGGGTTTGGCACATGTGTGCAGCAGTCCCCCTTGTTCTCTAGATTACTTTAGTGGGCTTATATGTGCCTTTTTCATCACCCCACTGTCTTTTTGGTGGGTTTTCTGGAGGCAGCAGAGGTAAACCCATGCATTTTTGATCCATGATTTTCCTCTCCTTTACCAGTCTTCGGATTTCTCCACTGGGCTAAATCCTAGAGAGTCTTCATTTGTTTATGTTGCATTTCACACTGTACTTGCCTTGTCTCTCAGAATATCTGTCTAGCCACTAGTACGGGGCTTACCGAACTGTCATGATTGAGTATACTTTTATGTCCTCTGCCTGGCACACTGCCACCAGAGCAGGCACTTAATATATGTTTAAGTGAATATGGAATGACATCATGCAGACTTTTTGGAAAGTAAGTGAAAATATAGATTTGAAAGTTATAATCCTCTTTGTGACATTTGTATCAAATACTAATTAAGAGGAAGAGGAAGTGAGAAAGGCAAAGCAGCAAAGCAGCAAGGACAGGACCTTAAAGGACAAAGAGACTGACTTGCACCAGAGATGCTGCAGCGAAGGGGACAGAAAGAGTAGTCAGAGGAGGAGGAGAGAACTTAGGGAGAGCCAGGGAAGAGAGAAGCAGCGGGGGGGGGGGGGTGCAGGTGCCCTCTAAGAGCTGGACAGTGCTGTGGGCCTTTGCCGTAAGGACGCTGAGGACGTGGCCTGGGGAAGAGCACTTGTGGTGCAGAGGGAACTGTGCTGTGGGTAGATGAATAGAGAGGTTTCAGATTGTCATTTCAACAGGGTTACCTGTAGAGAAAAAGAAGAAAGGGCAAGAGCTGAGAGAAGTCGGAGGTCAAGTGCCTCCGGCTTGTTCACCAGTGAAGAGACTCCCGTGTATTTACAGGAGCAGAGGGGAGAAACTGAGAGCCAGAAAAGTGGAGCAAGAGAATGCAGCCCAGAAGACTGGTGTGCAAATGCCAGGTCTTGTTTTTTACAGATTTTCTTTGATGTTACTACCAGATTAAGTGACTGTTTGGTCTTCTTATCCTGTCCAAAACCAAGACAAGGAAGCGTCGAGGACGGAGTGCTGTGTTCGGCTCTTCCCCAGCCACCGGGACTCGCTACTCATAACCATCCTATGGGGTAAGTACTGTCAGCCCCTCTCCAAGTACAATAGACAGGCTCAGAGGGGGAATGACGTGCCAGAAGTTGAACACGGGATTCTTGTTTTGTTTTGTTTGTTCTTGCCCTTGGGTTTAATGCTAATTCTTAAAAACAAAAAGAAAAAATTAACTTTCCTTCCTTGCCTTGCTGTCATTTCTTGTTTCCAAGTACATCTGGCCAAAATTGAACTTCTACATCCTGGCTCAACTTTCCTTTCAGATGATCGTTTTCCTTTTCTGTACGAAGGTTTTCATGTATACAGGTGGTACTACATCATTAGAAAAGCTGACTAGAACATTTAAAGACAGAAATGCTGTTCCTAGAGACAGCATCATCACTGGCAAACGTGTTAATGTTGAAACAGAGATGGGAATTATTAGTACTGTGGGAAGCAGGGAATTTTTAGCCTCTAATCAGCAGTCATTAGACTTAACGCCATTGGTGATGTTTAGTTATGAAGGAAACAAACAAGAACATGTATGAAGTATTAGAAATCTATCATCAAAGATTATATCTATAAAATAAGGTACTGTTAGGGATTCTACAATATTTGAAATCTCCAGGAAGCTACCCTTTACTACCCCTAAACAGAGAAACCTATTATTTGTGTTTTATAAATGACTTTGTATTAAAATGTACTGGGTGACTACCTGTGGGTGTAGGTGTGGGGTTGTGTGCATGGGCACATGTGTAAACATATGTACACATATACACAGAATTTATATACTGTTACAGAGTCCATATTTACCTTCATGCTAATCTGATCTCCCTAATGTTTAGTACAGACACATTATCTTTGCCTCCACTAGTAGGAAAACTTACCTAAAAGACCGTAATAAATGTAGTAGTATCTATAATTCATTGATCCTCATGCGGGGCAGGCCCACCCCTGCCTCAGGACCTCTGCACCGGTGGCTCCTTCTGTGTGGGATCCTCTCCCTTCGATAGTCCTGTGGCTCCCTCTTTTTCCCCTAAAGTCTTGGCCTCAGTGTCCCCTTATCATTGTGGCCTTTCCTGAAAACTCTATGTAAAATTACAAACCTTTCCCCTCACTCAAGTTCCCTATTTCCATTGTATTGCTTTTATTTTTTCCATAAGGTATGCCACTTAAATTCTGAGTATTTTGCTTATTTATTATATTAATTGCCCTTCTTCCTCTCACAAAAACATAAGTTCCTTACAGGCAGAAATATGTTTTGTTCATTGTTTTATCCTTAGCACCCTAATCAGCACCTGACTCAATAAATATTTCTTGAAGGACTGATTAATCATGTTCAGAGGATCAATCTGGCTGCTATAGGAGAATGCACTGTAGAGTAGGAAGTCCAGTCAGGTGAATAGTGAAATAGTCTGGCTGAGCGGAAGGAGTAGCTTAACTACTATGTAGGGGATAGAAGACGAAAGAAAATCAACTTGCCCCAGGAAGAGTGGGGCCTGCTGCCCAAGTGCTGTTCCCACCCCAATTCCAGGCTCTTGGCCTCTGCTGTGGCCACTGTCAGCCATAAAGACTGAAGGATCTATGTTCTCCTAGACCTCTCCGTCCTGGGGACTCTTGTTCATGTCCTGATGAGTACCAAAATTACATAAATCCTGTAACATTCTAAGATAATAAGGGAATATGAGCTATCACTCGAAAGCCCTGTTTAGGAAAAAAAGGAAAGAAGAGAGAGCTGTATATTGTTTTGCATAAAATAATAATGGTAATGGTAACAGCTAATAATCAGTGAACTCTTATCCTGGCCAGGCTTATTGCTGTGCACATTACAGGGCTCTTATTTAATAAGATAGCAAAACAGCAAGCATCTGAAACCTCATCCAATCTTGGAAGACCTAGAGTGGGTTTTTTTTTTTTTTTTTTTTTTAAGTTTATTCATTTATTTTGAGAGAGAAAGAGAAATCCAAGCAGACTCCATGGTGTTAGCACAGAGTCCAATGTGCAGCTCGAACTCACCCAGAGATCATGACCTGAGCCGAAATTAAGAGTTGGTCGCTCAACTGACTGAGCCCCCTGCCCCCAGGTGCCCTGGAAGAGGTAGTTTTTGATCCTTAGTGCTCCTGTCCCAACCCCTCAACATTTCACTAATTCCGAGTAAAGTTACCCTAACAATTTTGTTTCCAGGGAGACAGCTGTGTGATCTGGGAAAAATAAAATTTCCTCCCCTCCAAGTTGCCTAATGTATTGGTCACACTTAGGGAACAATATTAAATAGTAAGGATCCTTTCCTTGATTATGTTGTTAATAGCAATTGTAGTGTTTTATGTGTATGCTTGAGTCCATTACTTATAATTTTGTTTTTGAATCAAGATTGGATGTCGGATATTATCAATTACTTTTGAAGCATCCTTCAGGGTGGTCACATGCCTGTTTTCCCATGACCTATTAATATGTTAATAGATTCCTAGTGATGAACATTCTGGAACTCCTTGGATAAATCTTTTGTTCAAATTGAATATTTAAGTAGTATTTCAGGAATGGTTTAGGAGTACTGTAATTACTACATCTTTCATATTTAAGAATATATTTCGGTTTTCTTTGCACATGTATAGAGTACTAGCCATGTGGAGTTCTTGAGTCACATCAGTCTTTCCTCAGTCCCTTATAGATATAGCTTCACTGTCTTTTGGCATTCCATATTTTTGGAGAGAACTCTTAGGCCAGTTTGTTTATTATTTTAAAATATTTATTTTTGAGAGAGAGCACAAATGGGGGAGGGGCAGAGAGAGAGAGAGAGAGAGAGAGAGACACTGAATCCAAAGCAGGATCCAGGCTCTGAGCCATCAGTGCAGAGCCTGACTTGGTGCTCAAACTCATGACCGTGAGATTATGACCTGAGCTGAAGCTCGATAATTGACTGAGCCACCCAGGCACCCCTCTTAGGCCAGTTTTTAAAAAAATTGTAGTCCATTTTGTTCTTTTTCTGCAACAAATCTCCAGAATTAACTTTTAAATCACATCTCCAAACCCCATCAAGAAAAACTGAATCTTACTGTTAAGTTTCCTGCAGTACATAATGGTGTTTCAACTTATTTTCCAAAACAGCAAATATTTTGTTCTTATTTGTTTTTAGAATGTTATAGATACAGAATACGTAAAATGCATGTACTATTTAGCAAAAACCTACATATTCTTCTAATCCTTTTATAAATGTTAACTAATTTTTGTTCTTATATCCACACTATGCAATAGGCGCTATTTAACGGATGAGAAACAGGAGCACAGATAGGTGAAATAACCCACACAAGGGCACACAGCTAAGTGGAGCCAGGTAGTCTGACTCCAAAGTTGTTGTCTTAACCACTATGCCATGTTGCTTCTCTTTTTAGTTCACAACAATAAAGATGAGTGAATAATGAGAAAAGCAAACACTCAGGCACTAGAACCCAAATTTGTAACTCTGCTAGTATCTTAAGAATGCTTTGTGTGAACCTCTCCATTCACATCCTCCTACCTCCCCCCAGGACACAGCCACCGTTCTCACTTTGGTGATAATTCCCTTTCCTGGTTTTTCTTTACAATACTGCCATCAATACAGGAATCTCTAAATGATACATTTAGTTTCGTCTGTTTTGCAAATTTATCTAAATGGACTCTTCCTATATATTTTGTGTGTGACTTAAATTATTCATTCATTCTTATTGTTATATGTACATGTCTTGTTAATGTTCACTGTCATAGCTGGGGCTGCTGTAACAGAATACCATAGACTTGGTGTCTTAAACACCAGCTGTTTCTCATAGTTTCTAGAGTCTGGAAGACTGAGATCAGGGGACCTGGTCAGGCTTTCAACGCCTGAATTCTGAGGAGACACAAACATGAAATCCTTAACATTCCCTGATATCAATTATTCTATTGTTATACATATTTGACAATTTAGTTATCTATTCTATTGTTGGTGGGCATTTGGGTTGTTTCCATTTTTGTGCTATTGTGTACAATGTTACCTTAAACTTAGAATTGTGGTGTACCTTTGCAAGGTGGATTAAGTGTATGTACCTACAAGTACAAAACCTACAAGGGTTTGCTAAATCATAGTCTTTGTGCCTGTTCTAAGTTACTAGGTAGTGCTAAACTTTTTCAGACACTTGAACCAAATTGCATTCCCACCAGTGGCATGTGAGAGTTCCCGTTACAGCACATCTTTCTAAAATGTGAAGCTATCAGTCTGCCCGTTTTCATTTCGTTACTCAGGTGGATGTGGTAATCATTTCTCAATGGCTCTTACTCAGCCATCCCCTGGGTACTGTTGTGGGTATCTTGGCTTGTTTCCTCACCATTATAGTTTCCTTTTCTTAAGTGCCTATTCAAGTCTCTTGTCCATTTTTTCTGGCAGGCTTGGTGTTCTGTTTTACCAGTCAAGGTTCTAGTCCTGTATGGGCCAGGTGTTGCAAAGATCTCTTCCCGGTATGTCACTGTCTTTCCTGTTTTCTTTCTTTTGATGCCTTTGAACCTCTACATAGTTTTCGAATTTGGTATGATTCAAGATATCATTTTTCTTTGAATGAGGGCAGTTCTGTCTGGAGTTTGTATTCATCTAAAAGTGTGAATGGATCCTCCTTTGCCCTTTATGTTGTTTATCGGGTCGCACTTTGTTCTCAAACAGCTTTAGCTGAACAGCTGGAGAGGATATAGTGAGGTGGGGCAGGAGGCAGCCTCCAGTTCAGGTGCTGCCTGTTGGTATTTCACACTTGAATTGGATAGGTCCTTTCTGGGGTTACTTGGTGATGTGTGTGTCTTAGCAGTGGAGTCTGTGTGGCTTTCCACTTTTTCTCTTTTGCGTGTGTGTAAGCAGGTGAGGTTTCAAGGAGGTGGTCCACTTAATGCAGACCTCAGGCTACATAGTAAATTATCCTGCCCACAGGCCTTTGGTTTGGTGGTTCAGTGTTGGTCTTGGCTCTGGTAATTTTGGTCGAGCTGACAGCTGATTCTCATTTTGTAGTTTCCTGTCCTCTGCTCTCATTGCCCCCAGGTCATTCTGCCTAGAATAAGAAGTGGGTTCTGAGAAAATAAAGTCTCAGTGGCCACAAGGTCCTTCCTTTAGCCCCATCTCAAGCAGCTCAACAGATCCTATTGTGCCTTCCCCTACCATCAGTTCACGTCTTTAAGGAATGGATATTCCTTAAAGGAAAGGGTAGAGCCCTTTCATACCCTCTTACCTAAAGAGAATGAGAAACCTATAGTCTGTTGACAGTTGGTGGGGGTGGGGGAGAACCCTTAGATTGTGTCATTCTCCCTTCAATTTCAAGTAGGTTGTGGTATTTTATGTTCCAAACAAGCATATTCCCTAAGGATAGTGTATGTGCATTATCTTACTTAATCTTCATCAAATTATTTTTATTCTATATCTGTGAAAACTCAAACCCAGAGAATCAAGTAACTAGTTAAGATGGTAAGTTAATAGTTAGGCTTTAAACCCAAGTATGTCTGACTCCAGAGCCAATAATCTTATACTGTGTTACACTGTGATGTTGTACAAAGATTTAGTGTCAAAATTAGAAACATTGCAGGAGAGGGTGCCTGGGTGGCTCAGTCAGTTAAGCTTCTGACTTCGGCTCGGGTCATGATCTCGTGGTTCGTGGATTCGAGCCCCGTGCCGGGCTCTGTGCTGACAGCCAGCTCAGAGCCGGGAACCTGTTTCAGATTCTGTATCTCCCTCTCTCTCTGACCCTCCCCTGGTTATGCTGTCTCTCTCTCTCTCTGAAACAAGTAAAACATTTAAAAATTAAAAAAAAAAAAAAGAAAAAAGAAACATTGCAGAAGAAACTGCTGGTGGAAATACCAGATACAATGTGGCAGGGCTTTCTGATCTGCTTCTCCAGTCCCAGCTTGTCTGTGTATTTTCCCTTCATTGCATCTTCATTATTCAACCTTGTCCAGTGGTATTTCGGTGTCCATCCCTCCTGCATACATAGGCTCACTCTTTTTTGTGCTTACCACCTCCTCTCGTTCTGTTACTTATAGACTAGTTCACTGTTCCCTCCTTCCCTTCTGTTTTACTTCCCAGTTGTAGGGACATTTTTGAAAGCTCTTACATGTGCCCTATAGTTATTCTCAGTTTCATTCTCTTATTCCCACCTTAAACAGTTTTTAGTCTCCCAGCACAGAAACCAATGTGCATTTGAATTTTTTATTTTTTTCAGGTTGGAAGACAAGAAATGAAACCAAAGAATCACCTGCAAAGCCCAACGTTACTGAAGATATATCCTATGGGGTAATAATGGAAAGGGAAGGTCTCTGGCATTCTTCTTTAGGGGAAACCTGGGAACCTGATAATTGGTTAGATGGGCAACAGAAAAGCCAGGATAGACATCTGGGCCAAGTGGCAGTTACACATGAAGAAACCCTCACTGAGAGGACATTTGGAGGTAACGAATTTGCAAGATGTTCTAGTCAGGAGTCAATCCTTGATATACAACAAAGTATTCCTGTAGGAAAAAGGCCCCATAATCAGAATTTACATAAAGAAGACACTAAACAGAATTCTGAATTAATTAAAACTCAAAGTATGTTTGTTGGGAAGAAAATCTATGAATGTAATGAATGTAGGAAAACCTTCAGCCAGAGCTCATCTCTTCTTAAGCACCAGAGGATTCATACTGGGGAGAAACCCTATAAGTGTAATGTATGTGGAAAGCACTTCATCGAACGCTCCTCCCTTACGGTGCATCAGAGAATTCATACTGGAGAGAAACCCTATAAATGTAACGAATGTGGGAAAACCTTCAGTCAGAGCATGAACCTTACTGTTCATCAACGAACTCATACTGGAGAGAAACCCTATCAGTGTAAAGAGTGTGGGAAAGCTTTCCGTAAGAATTCATCCCTTATTCAACATGAAAGGATTCATACTGGAGAGAAACCCTACAAATGTAATGAATGTGGGAAAGCTTTTACCCAAAGCATGAATCTTACAGTGCATCAAAGAACTCATACAGGAGAAAAACCCTATGAATGCAACGAATGTGGAAAAGCCTTCAGTCAGAGCATGCATCTTATTGTACATCAGAGAAGTCATACTGGAGAAAAACCCTATGAGTGTAGTGAATGTGGGAAAGCCTTTAGTAAAAGCTCAACCCTTACCCTGCATCAGCGAAATCACACTGGAGAAAAACCCTACAAATGTAACAAATGTGGGAAATCCTTTAGCCAAAGCACATACCTTATAGAACACCAGAGACTTCATTCTGGAGTAAAACCTTTCGAATGTAATCAGTGTGGAAAAGCTTTCAGTAAGAATTCATCTCTTACTCAGCATCGGAGAATTCATACTGGAGAGAAACCTTATGAATGTATGGTATGTGGAAAACATTTCACTGGGCGATCCTCCCTTACTGTACATCAGGTTATTCATACTGGAGAGAAACCTTATGAATGCAATGAATGTGGAAAGGCCTTCAGCCAGAGCGCATATCTTATTGAACATCAAAGAATCCATACTGGTGAGAAACCCTATGAATGTGATCAGTGTGGAAAAGCCTTCATTAAGAATTCATCCCTTATAGTGCATCAGAGAACTCATACAGGAGAGAAGCCCTATCAGTGTAATGAATGTGGAAAAGCCTTCAGTCGGAGTACAAACCTTACACGACATCAGAGAACTCATACATGAGCTAAGTTTTCACTGAGCCCTTCGCCAGGATTAACTGTTCAGTGATAATCAGATAAGTCCTGTAACATAGAAACCTCATAAATGTAATAGCTGTATGAATCTTTCAGTTGAAGTATAAATTACTATATGAGATCATACAGACCACTGCAGAAAAACCATATAAAATAGAGAAACTTTAATTCATAAAGTAAAACTTACTCCTTGACATCAGAAGGTTGAAATAGCTCATGCTGTAAACAATGAGGATTCGCATTGAAGAGAAGTTGTGTTGTGTCATACTGCAGATCTCCTTTGGACATCAAAGACTTCACACTGGAGAGAAAATGTGAGCGTGCTTAACTGGACAGCCCAAAGACCTGGTATGTAGTCCTCATCTGCCACTAACTTGGACAAGTCACCTACTTTCACCAGATCATAGTGTCCTTATTTAGTAAAGGAGGGATTTTGAATTTAGAAGGTCTCCAGAATCCCGATTAGCTCTAAAATGCTGTAAACCTATAGATATAACCAATACTGGAAAATCCTTGACGTTTTACCATGTTATGTGTGTTATCTAGATGCTCCTAATCCACAATCAGGTTTCCCTGGATGTTTTGAGTCAAAATTCTCTACCTCTACCAAAGCCTATTATTATCCCTCTATGTCCCTCCCCTGACCCCCTGCACTGTTATTTTCTCACCTAAAACGTAGGCTGATTGCTACTGGGTGATGAAATAACTGTACAGATCTTAATGCCATAGCATGCTGTTTTGAGTTCTCAATTAAGTCATTAAACTACTGTTAAATAAGCTAATTAGAAAACAGTATAACTTAAATATAGTTTCTAAGTACATAGGATTCAAATACATATCTTTGTATCATAGTCTATCAAAGTGGAAAGAAGACACTGAACATTAAGAGACATGGAAATTTGACATCGTAACAAAATCTTGGCAACTCAAAACATTCAGAACAGTCAGAGGTTTTATAGATCTACTGTGATGACAACAGTTAAGCCAATTTCATTTATTTCATACACAGTAAATAAGCGCTAGGTATGTGATAGACATGATTAGAAAATCAGACTGGGTAAGGTATATTCTTTGCTTTGCAAAGGCTAAACTAAAAAATTGGCAGTGGGATGGGAGAGGAAAGGAAGAATTCAACCAATAATGAGGCAGCATCTAGATAACGTGGTAACTGATTGAATGTAGGAACTTGAATTTATTTGGGTAGATGGAGTGCCATAATTAAGAACACATGAAGTTGACTGGTTTTGTGGGGCAATGAGAAGTTCTGTCTGGGGGATTTTAAACAATCTGTAGGTATCCAAGTGAAGATCCTGACAGACACCAGAATAACTAGCAGGGCAGTGATGAAGGGTGCTCTGAGTCAGGTCACTGAACAGGGTTAAGTGGAGGAAGTAGAACCAGTAGGAGCTGAGAGGAAACAACAGCCGGAAGAAAAATGAAAAACAGAAGGAAAATTTAGAAGATGGCGGCACAGAAATAAAAGAATGTTGTGTCGGGTAAGAACAGTTAACATTTTCAAATGCTTTGGGGGCTAAAGTAAGATAAAAATAGAAAATGGCCTTTGGTTTTGGTTATTGATAACCTGTTAAATATTAGTAGGCTGAAGAGTGAAATAAAGGTTGAAAAGGACTTAGGATCTTGACTGAGGAAGGAGACCTTTAGAAAGATAACTAGAGGGAGATTGGGGTTGAGAGAGAGTATATCTTTCAGAAGAGCTTTTTGGCTACAAATACTGGAAAGCCCAGTTAACAATGCTTACAGGCAAACCGGGATCTTATTTTTTTCTTCACGTAACAAGTCTGGAGGTAGGTTGGCATTGTTTCAAAGACAGAATTAATTCAATGCCTTGAGTTTCATGGCTTTTCCATCAGGGCTATATGATGGCTGCTCTGCTTCAGGTAAAAGAGCTGCATTCAAGGCAGGAAGAAAGGGGGTGGGAAGCAGCAGCAACAGCAACGTCTGTGCCTTTTATCAGGTTTTCCCAGAAGCCCCTCAGCAGACTTCGGCTTACGTCTCACTGACCACAGCTGTTATATGGAGGCCAGTCGCAAAGGACGCTGAGAAAATCCTCTTCCAGCTTCTAAAGTGGAAGTAGGCAAAGAAAAGGAGGATGGAGAAAGGTTTTGATTGAACAGTCAGTCAACAGGCTGCCAATGAATAGTCTGCCAAGAGTGGTTTTACATGATCACTGAAAAGAAGAGGTATAGGAGAGTCGAAGGTACAGAAAGGAGGCGATGGGCAGCTCAGAGTGGGAAAACAAGACTGAGGCAGAGGTAGAAGCTATAGAAATCATTTTCAACCTTTTTCAGAGGAAGGAAACTTCACCAGGAGAGGTGGGAATCAAGAAATGATGGGTACCAATGTCTGTGGGTGGCAGTGGAGGAGGTTCACTATGGATGCCGAGCCCTTGGGCAGTTCAGTACCTTTGGGTTCTGTGGCCTCTACAGTCTAAGTCTTAGAACAAAGACAAAGGGAGACTGAAACACGAACTTGTATCCTCCGAAACCTAGATCTTTAATATTTGTCCCTTACATCTAGTTTCCTCCTTTCCCTTCACATATTTCTTTTTCTAAAGGAGGCAGAGAAGAGATGGGTAGAAAATAGATGACAATGATAAAGACAGCAGCAAAACAAAGGGTCAGAAGGCAGGCATAGGTCAAGGCGGGGAGGAAGAATGCAGTGTACTGAAGCCTACGATGGATGCACTAACCCAAAACTTGGTAAAATATTAACCTTTAGAGGAAGCAGCTGGAGAAATGGGTCAGCCAAATGGATGCCTCACTACTTTTTCAGGAGTTTTGGAAGCTGTAGGCCCTCCTATGTCAGTTCTCAGTCATTCTGGGCTATGAGCAAGGAGGACAGCCTTTGGACCTCCCCTGTATCACCAGGGGCAGGACTCCCGGTTCCGCTTACTAGGCATGAGACCTTGGGCAAGACAACATCTTCGTGCTTCACTTATTTGCTAGTGGTGCAAGTCCCATAGCTTTGGATTACAGCAGACACTCAGGTAAAGTGCTTATAAAAGTGCCAAACATATTGAGAACATAGTTCTCAATAAATCTGTTATCACCCTCATATCCCTGAAATCAAAATAACATTCAGACTCCTGAGCATGGCATCCAGAAATTATCTTAGAATCACTGGACTCTCCAAACAAATGCCCTGTCGGCCGTTGATGTAACTAACTGTGGGGTGCTGCCCCTGCCGGGGACTGCTGTTAACAGCCTCCTAACTGGTTTCCCTGCATTGCCTTCTAGCCCCACCCCAGTGGACTAGGGATCCTGTCAAAATGTGCTCGGCCGCGTGGCTCTTGCGCAGACTCCTTGGGCGGTTTCCCATCACACACAGAACAAACCCAAAGGTCTTAAGATGGCCTTCAAGGTCTCTAGGACCCTTCAAGCCTCCTCCCCACACTCCCTTGTTCACTATGTCCTCTCCAGTCCCACTAACACTGCAAGGCCGCAGGCCCATCCGGCACACTTCTGTCTCTAGGACATCGCTGTCCCCTTCCCCTTAGACGGCTCTTCTCCAGATATTCACGCGGTTTCCTCTCTCGCGGGATTCATATTTCTGCTCAAATGTTACCTCCTCAAAGAGAATTTCCCAAGACAGTCCTTAAGGTAATCCCCAGCCCCCTCCCCCGCTGTCACAGGTTCACTGCGTCATCACTACCTGGTTAAGTATTTTCTGTGTTTTACTGACTACCTCCTCTAGATTCCAACCTGCGTTAAGTGCAGGGTTTCGCTGCTCCTTCCCAGCGCCTAGAACAGCGCCTGGCACACAAGTGCTCCAAAAGTGTCAAGAGGATGAAACCTACCACAGAGCCCCAAACAGGATCCTGTGGTGTCACACAAGTCACTGACACTGTCTCCTAAGAGGTGACGGCAGTTCCCCAAGTGACAAACCTCAGGTCACATTTTTGGCTTTTGGTTTAATTCACCACCGACAACGTTAATACCGCCTCTTTCCTTCCCGAGCTGGGTGAAAACGTGTAGTCAAAGGCAACGACGTATCTGCATGGCATTTTCTATCCATCGCATCATCTCTGTCCGACCCCACAGAAATAACCGCCACCCCGGCGTCCGACACCGTCTCCTCGGCCTCTGGGCTGCTTCCTCCCCCGACGAGTCGCCGACACCGAGGTCGGCTCTACCTTCTCGGCGTTTCTCCCGCGCCGCCGCCCGGGTCCCAGCCACCGTCCGGGGCCGCCGGCTCCGCACCCCGCGGCCGCCCCAACCGCTCCCCGGCCCGGTCCTCGGAGCTCAGTCCCACCGCTTCCTCAAGTCGTCTCCGCGCGGTCCTCCTCCAGGAGGGCGTCTTTGCGGCTTCTCAACTCGTACTCCGTCCTCGGGGACCCTGCCCGATCCGCTCCCCGCGAACGACCTACTTTACCCTGTCGTCAACTTTTCGCTGGTCTTTACCTCCCAGCGTGTTATTTCAGGGCTGAGGCGGACTCTGAGTCTGACTTGAACGGAACCAAAGTCGCACGTACCGGTTAGCGCACGGGGCATAGGACCGTAACGCTCCGCCGTGGCCCCTGGGAAATGTAGTTTCGGTACGGAAAGTTGCCAGGCGTGGTGTTGAAGGGCGAGGCCGTGTCTGCGCAAGCGCGTAATATCACTTTCTGCGCTGCCGCTGCTTCGCTCTCTGGGAAGTGGAGTCTGGAAAGCCCGAGTGTGGAAGCCTTCTGACTTGCGGGCGTTCAGTTCCGCGGCTCCCCGGGCAACGCGCAAGCGCAGTTCTGACCCGGGCTGCGGACTCCAGCTCATTGTGTTCCGCCTGCGATGTGGCGGCTGCGGTTTCTCGCCGCGGGTAGAGCCTCCTCAAAGGGCAATCCGGTGGTGACCAGGCACGGTGGCTAAAGCCGCGTCGGAGAACGGGAGCGGCTGAGGGCGGGGCTAGGGGGTCCGGGCCCGGGGCGAGAGGGCGGAGGGAAGGCCGAGTAGGTACGGGTCGTAGTCCGTTCTGGAGGACGCCGATATGATGCCCCAAACTTCCCGGGACGTACGGCTGAGGTTTGATCTTAAGAGGAAAATGGAGGGTGACCAGGTGTGGGCTCTTGGTTCTAGGGTCCGAGTCTGCGAGTGCTTGTGCAGGAGGATGCGGTTAGGGCCTCTGCGTGGGTCTCGGAGCCGACTCCAGGAAGCCCGTTCTCGCTGCAGGGGTGGATGCCCCGTGCGTATTTCGGAGCCCAGTCTGCGGAACTCGCACTGGCGGGGACAGCTGCTGCAGCAGCTCCTTGGGTCCGGAGGGTGTTGTATGAATGAGCCGCCTCCCCCCACCTCCTCCCGAGCCACACAAATACACTGCTTCTCGCTCACCTTTGGCTCTTTGTCACCCGGAGTGGGCCCCTGGAGGGGAGAGGCCTGAGGTCAGAGAGAACTTGATCTGAGAGGCCTTGACAATGAAGATCCAGCCTTCTTACCTTGCCTTTTGCGGCAGCCCTTCACTCCCCTCCCAAGATTAGGCAGCCTTCTGGGCAGGAGAGAAACTTCTGTTGAGACCTCTTAGGGCAAAGGCCAGAGAGTGGGTAGAAAGCTTGAGACCTGGGGGATGACGGGTGCTTTCTGCAGGAAACAGAAAGGAAAATGTGGAGGACTTGATCCAGATGCTGGCAGAAGGCGTGGGGGACAGTAATGGCTGCATGGGAAGGGATTCCCTTTACAGTGGAGGCCAGCGGAAGTTCCTCAGAGAGAGAAGAGAGAATTGGGAGCAAATAGGGACTAAGAATCTACTGCCTCAGGGTAACAGAGGATTCCCAGGATGTGAATGCCCCCAGGCTCACTCCAGACTTCGGTGTGATCTCTTTAACCCAGATTTCCTCTTACCAGGTGTGTAGAAATTTCTCGCCTAAGTCCGGTTCTGCCAGCCCGTAAAAGGGCTTATCAGAGAAGGAATGGCTGTCAGGCGCCTGCCAACCATGGTCCAGGTGAGTGCGGAGTGTCTCGGGTGTCCTCCCCGCCCCCCCCACACCGAACTGCCTTAAAAGTTTTTTCTTTTTCTTTTAATGTTTTTATTCATCTTTGAGAGAGAGAGAGATACAGAGCGCTAATGGGGGAGGGGCAGAGAGAGAGAGGGAGACACAGAATCGGAAGCAGGCTTCAGGCTCTGAGCTGTCAGCGCAGAGCCTGATGGGGGGCTCAAACCCACGAACCATGAGATCATGACCTGAGCCAAAGTCGGGCGCTCAACCAACTGAGCCACCCAGGTGCCCCTGAACTGCCTTAATAGTTTTGAATGTAGAGGTGTGAAGAGTGTGGGCTCGTTTTTTTGTTTTTTTAACCCTGACCAAGAGCTTTTCTCTTAATCCAGTCTCAGTTGGAGGCCTGACCCTGTTTTCCTTTTTCCTTGGCCCCCATGTTGGGCTCATCCAAATGGGTGAGGGAGCTAAGTAACTTGTTCAAGGTCACATAAATGACATACCCAGAGCCCAGGTTGTAACATGTACCCTTTCCACTAGCAAGTAAGAGTAGGGGTCCAAAGTGTTGTTGGGGTTTTTTTAAAATGTTTATTTTTTGAGAGAGAGCAAGCCAGCAAGGGGCAGAGAGAGAGGGAGAGAAAAATCCCAAGCAGGCTCCAAACTGTCAGCGCAGAGCCAGATGTGGAGCTTGAACCCACAAAAACCATGAGGTCATCACCTGAGCAGAAACCAAGAGTCAGACACTTAACCCACTGAGCCACCCAAGCTCCCCGGGGTCCAAAGTGGTTTTAAAGGGAGTCCCTAACATAGGAGTTGAGTGAAGAGGGAAATTGAAACACTTTCTCTGGGAAGTAAGACTTACTCTTTTCTTTTTTATATTTTTTATACAAAGTCATTCAAAAGATATCGTTTTAAATTTCAATAAGTTACTAAGACACCGAAAGCAGGGCCAGCCTTCTTGCAATAAGGATATGGACTCCACCACCTTGAAGGAACTACCCTTCATTTGAATGTATAAAATCTGTCGACGCTGGTAAAATCATTCTAATTCCCTCACATATTTAAGCCTGCCCAGAGCTGGAATCTGCGGCAGAAAACCCTGGAAGAGGTGAGCAGCTGGTTGAAGGTGCCATGTGCAGCCCCCTCATGTCTCACTGGCTGCTCACCTTTCTGCTTCCGGTGTGACCTGTCCCTTAGCACCCATATCTGGTACTGCTTTTTTCCTGAAGCCTGTCTCCGTGGTGCCAATCCACTGTGACCGCTCCCTTCCTTGACCCTTTCCTCACATGCATTGTTGGTGTCATGCACTTTGTTTCATATTGTTATTATGGTAGTGATGAAAAAGTGCACAGTGGTCCCTGACAAATTGGTTCATGGGTTCAATCCAACGGGTGTGCAAATCTCTGAGTACAGAGTACAGGTCACAAAACCCTACATCAGACTACTTTAAGCAAAAGCGGGCCTTTACTGGAAGGTTACTGGGATTTCTCCCAAGTATTTCTCCACATGCAAGGGAGCGACTGGACTTACTGGGCTGTGGAGGTAGGGTCTACAACAATCAAAAAGTCCTTTCTCTTAGACCCTTGGCTTTCTTCTCAGGGCTTCTGCGTAGCTCTATCTCAGTGCACACCAGCTCTCTTGGCTTCTCAGCCAAGAGTTTCCAAGGAAAGCACTCTTTGTGATAGAGGGGACAGGTCACCTTGTCCAGAAGGACTGTTTCTGTGGGAACCGTGTACATGCCTGGGGATGAGCAGGTGAGCAGCTGAAGACAAGAAGGAGTTGGCTAAGCAACGTATAATAGGGGCTGGGTACATGGGCCATGTTCTAGAAAACATGCCAGGAAGACAAGAGAGATGTGGAAATCGTTCACAGCTGTTTGGAGTTAACCGTCCAGTGGGGGAAGGCGAGAGTGAGTGAGAACTCACAATAAAGCGGGAAGGTGCTTTGCTGCATCTGCGCCCGTGATAAGGCAGTTGAGGAAGGCCGTGTCTAGGAAGTAATGTAGAGGCTGAGCCTGAGTAGGATTTGGTCATGGGGTGGGGGTAGAGGTGGGGCGGGGTAAATCTAGGGAGATGGGAGAAAATGTTCATGGCAAAAGGGACAGCAAGGGGGCACCTAAGTGGCCCAGTCGGTTGGGCATCCCAACTTTGGCTCAGGTCATGACCTCACGATTTGTGAGCTCGAGCCCTGCATCAGGCTCCGCAGCTACAGCACTCAGCCTGCTTCAGTTCTCTGTCTGTCTGTCTGTCCGTCTCTCCCTCTCTCCCGCCCCTGCTTGTGTTCTGTCTCTCTGTCTCTCTGAAAAATAAACTTAAAAAATATATTTTAAAAAAATGGCAACAGCAAGTCCGAAGTCTCAGTGCTGAGGAAGCATATCTTGGCCCCGGTACACATTTCCGCAAAGCAAGGAAACAGAGTCTGATAAAAGCCCGGCCCCTGGGAGCCCCTGAGGAAAGGCTCATGTTGTCACAGAGCCCCAGGCTGCTCTGTGCTAAGGGTCCTGCAGACCTCAGCTAGCTCCTTGGGCCTGCCAGGCATCGCCTTTCCCAGAGAGCCGCGGGAGGGGGTAGCCGCAGGTCACCAGGGCTGGGTTTGCTGTTACAGGAATCCGTGACCTTCAAGGATGTGGTCGTGCTCTTCACCCAGGACGAGTGGGCACAGCTGAGCCCCACTCAGAGGGCCCTGTACCGGGATGTGATGCTGGAGAACTACAGCAACCTGCTCTCACTGGGTAAGTGGGGGCCTCCGAGGCCGATCTTCACATTTGGGGTCTCTCGCCAACCCTTATAAACTCTTAGACGGGCTGCATCCAGAAGACTGGGCTGGGAGTGGGCTGATCGAGGATGTCATCTTCAGGGCGCCGCATGCCTACCCCTGGCGCCCTGGGTACATGGCTCTTTTGTTGGAGTCCAAGTGCAGAGGCTTCACGGGTGACCAGGTTGAATCCTCTCCCCCTTTCGGCAGGGGGAACGACACGGGGACAGCCTGTCTGTGTTGTTGGGCCCCGGCCAGCTTGTCTCCCTCCTGGGAATTCATCTGTCGCCTAGCCTTCCTCTCGGGTCACTTTTTCCAGGAAGCCCGCAGGACCGACCTCCTTGCGATGAGTGTATCGCTGGTGTGAACAGATGTGCTCTATCTTCCCCTCAAAAACAGGACTCTTAGGCCCCCAACCGGATGTGTTTTCCCAACTGGGAAAAGAAGAGTGGATGCTGGAGGGCGCCTCGGGAGGCTTCTGTCTTGGTAAGAACCCCACACACGGCGGGCATTGGGAGAAGCTTGGAACACACTCCGGGCCCGTGGACTGAGAAGCATCTTTTCCCTTCCCGTCCTCCCCAGCATCTTGTTGCCCCGTGGGCGTGTGGGCCCTCCCAGTCCCGCCACTCTGACTTAACAACATCATCCAGTCTTCCATTACTCATCGTTACCATTAGTTCTTATTTTACTTGTTGGGGGTGGGGGAGAATTAGGAAGATGAAGGAGTTTCATGCCTAGAAGTCAGGTGCTGGTAATGGTATGAAAAACCAGATGGTCACGGTTCAGGCCCTCCCATGTGCCTCTCCCGACCCTTTGGGTCCAGCACCTCATGTTTCTGAATTGCCTGGACACCCCAAACCTTGAAGTGATTCATGGGGGATGATCAGTGGTTAGCCAGTCAGACACGGAAAGAAGCCTTGTTTTATGCTTCCCAATAAAGTTTCATAGCTGTTCCTCTCCTCTTTTGAAGATGTATTTTTATTTTTGAATAGAACCATCTTCTCATTTGGTCTTTAACCAGAAATTGCTGCTATGAAGAAATGGTAGTCCCTTCCAAGTATGTATTGCCCTCCTGTGTGACTCTCTCTTAAAGTGTTCATAAGATCAAGTTTGAAGAATAAAGAAATGACACCCATACCCCACTGTCCAGCTTAAGAAACAAAACGTAGGGCACATGGGAAGTCCAGTATGCCTCGCATCACTGCCCCTTCCTCCCTTCAATGAGAGAGCCACTAGCTTGAATTTTCCACCAGCAGCTCCTGCATTGTTCTTCATGGTTTTCCCACATTTATCTGGAACTCTTAGCAATGTCATTTAGCTTTGCGTGCTTTTAAGTCTGATATATGGGGGCCCCTCCGACTTCGGCTCAGGTCACGATCTTGAGTTTCACGGTTTCGAGCTCCTTGTTGGGCTCTGTGTGACAGTGTGGAGCCTCCTTCAGAGCCTCTGTCCCTCTCTCTGCCCTTCCTCCACTTGCGCTCTCTCAAAAAAATTTTTTTTTAATTACAAAAAGTTTTTATGTTTGGTATATGTATTGTACAGTTAGATATGTTTCCACGAGTTGATCTTTTTAAACCCTTGTTGAGGTGTGTACTTCTGCACTTTGATATTCCTTCACTGATGACACCTTCATTCGTTCTTTCTGTTGCTGGCAGACCTGTGGGTTGTTTCTAGACTTTGCTGTTTGGAATAATGCTGACTGAATATTCTTATACATGTCTCCTTATACACACGGGCCTTCACTGGGAGTCTTTTTAAGGTATGTGCACAGGTGTAGAAATAGTGGGCTTAAGGGTATGTGCTTCTTCAACTCTTCGAGGCTATTCCAGATTACTGGTTAAATTAGTTGTTTCAAATTATACTGATGGTTCATGCAAGTTCTTGTGACTTTATGTCCTTGCCAAAATTTGGAACTGTTAAGACTTTTAAAAATTCTCCTAGGCCCTTCCTGCAAAATAGTATCTCCCTGTGGTTTTGATTTCCATTTCCTTGTTTACTAGTGAAATTGGACATCTTCTCGTGTGTTGATGATTTGTGTTCTGGGACTTACATATTCATATTCTTTGCCCATTTTTCTATTATAGTTCATCTTTTCCTTAGTCATTTGTAAGAAGTCCTGTTTATTCAGGAATCAAATAAGTGTGTCACTTTATAGCTTATCTTTTTCTTTGCTTACAGAAGTTCTTAATTAGCAAAGTAAAATGTATCAGTCTTTTGCCTTAAAGGTCTTTATCTTCGTGCTTTTTGTGTTGTGTTTAAATGATCCTTTCTAGGGGTGCCCAAGTGGCTCAGTTTGTTAAGTGCCCAACTTCGGCTCAGGTCATGATCTCATGGTTTGTGAGTTCGAGGCCCATATCAGGCTCTGTGCTGACAGCTCAGAGCCTGGAGCCTGCTTCAGATTCTGTGTCTCCCTCTCTCTGCCCCTTCCCTGCTTGTGCTCTGTTTCTCACTCTGTGTCAAAAATAAACTTTAAAAGAAAAATTTTAAATAAGCCTTTCTATCCTTAGATCCATTAGGGAAGGACTTGGTTGAATGGAAGCATGAATTCCTAATAATACTCAACTTTTATGTTTCTTTTCTGTTGAAGTCTTGTGAGAAGTTTGCTTTTTTATAGACTTTTTCAAATGTTTATTTTGAGAGTGAGAAAGAGAGTAAACAAGGAAGGGGCAGAGAGTGAGGGGGAGAGCAGGTTCCACACCGTCAGCACAGAGCCCAGCGCAGGGCTTGAACCCCACGAACTGTGAGATCATGACCTGAGCCGAAACCAAGAGTGGGGCACCTAACTGACTAAGGCATTCAGGCACCCCTTTAATAGACTTTTTAATGAATAAATGTATGACTCTGCTGATCCTTTCTATCTGACTTTTTTGGAGTTTATTCTGTTCTTTTTATTTTTAGCACTAAGTTTTATCACGGTAACACACACATGTAATGAAACTACAGTGTTTATTACAAAAACCAGTGACCTCATTTCCCTATTTTCCCCTCTGGAGAGGTAGCCACTTCTCTCTTCTTTTAGCTGATTATTTGGTGTAATTGCTTCCAAATAATGACATTTCTGTTATCCCTAACCTGAGAGTTCCCTCTGCCCTCTTTGCAGATAATCCTCGCCCCCATCCCTAGGCCCTGGCAACTTGTCATCTGCCTCTGCCATTTTGAGTTTACCCTCCCAGGATTTCATGCACATGGAGCTCTACAGTACGTTCTCCTCAGTGTCTGACTGTCACTTAGCCAAGTAGCTTTGAGACTCCTCCTTGCTGTTTCAGGTGTCAGTGGTTCTTTGCCATCACTGCTGTCCGGAGATAGCACTGATCATTCATCACTGGTGAACATTTGAGTGTTTTCAGGCTTTGGCTAAGGCTGCCGTGAATGTTCTGGTATAGGGTTTTGTGTGGATGTCTTTTTTTTTTTTTTAGTTTATTTATTTTGAGAGAGAGAGAGAATAGGGGAGGGGCAGGGAGAGGGAGACCGAGAGAATCCCAAGCAGTTTCCGCACTGTCAGCAAGGAGCCTGATGCAGGGCCCAAACCACAAACCACGAGATCATGACCTGAGCCCAGGTCGAACGCTTAACCGACTGAGCCACCCAGGCGCCCCTGTGTGGATGTCTTGTAGTTCATATGCTCCTGGGGGACATATGTTTTCACTAAGAGACGTGCCTAGAAGCGGAATCCTGGCTTTATACTGTTTAAAACCATACTTTGTTGGTGCGCCTGGGTGGCTCAGTCAGTTAAGCATCTGATTTCGGCTCAGGTCATGATCTCACAGTTCGTGAGTTTGAATCTGCATCAGGCTCTGTGCTGACAGCTCAGAGAATGGAGCCTGCTTTCAGATTCTGTGTCTCCCTTTCTCTCTGCCCCTCCCCTGCTCGTGTTCTGTCTCTGTCTCTCTCTCTCAAGAATAAGTAAAACGTTAAAAAAAAATTTTTTTAAACCATACTTTGTCTTTTTTTAATGTGGGACAATGCAGATGGGGGTATTACTCGTTAATTCAGGCCACCCTGAAGTGACGTGGGCCCTGGTGAGAGCAGATTTACGTGCTCATGTCTTCAGCGAGCCCAGTCTCTCCTCACCTTAGTTCCTCTTCAGTGCGGTAAAACCTGGGGGTGTGTGACTCCCCTCTTGATTAGATGAGTGTGTTCTCCTATGTCACTAGACGTTAAGACCAATACTCGCTTATATGTAGACGATGTGTTATTATTATCACAGTCGAGGAAAAGCTTTAATAGATAGAACTATTCAAAGGAAGTCAGCAATTGGTTATTTTTGGTGACCCACAGTATCATTTTTGAAAACCATCTGCCAGATCTTTTTGAGCAAACATTTTTTGAATACCCAGAAAAATACACAAATTTTATGTGTAGAATTCACACATTTTTGCAGTGTAAATACTGTATAACCAGCACTTCTAAAAGAAAAAGAACGTTACCAGCATGTTAGACATCTCCCATCCCCTCTGTTTCTTTCGTTCTAAAGATAACTACTACCCCAACCATGGCTTGTTTGGCCTATTTTTGAAGTGTGTATAAGCGGAATCATACAGTATGTCTCCTCTGGGTCTGGCTTCTCTCCTTCAGCAGTATGTTTGCCATTGGTTGGTGGGTTCATTCTCATTCATGTACAGTATTTCACTGTGTAAACCCACCATTTCTATTCTCTACTGTTGCTAGATGTTTGGTTTCTTTCTAGCCTGGAGCTACTATGAATAGTACTGCTTTGAACGTTCCTGTAGGTCTTTTAGAGAATATATGTATACATTTCTCTCGGGTATATAGCTAGGAGTACTATGTTCATGAGTATGCAGGCTTTAGTAGACCCTGCCACGGGGTTTTCCAAAGTGGCGATCCTAATCTGTTCCTGAACCAGCAGGATTTGAGGACTCCATATCCTCCTATAGGCCTAGTATTGCCATTTAAACATTTCATCTGCCACTCTAGAGGATGTAGGGAGTACCTGATTATATCTCAACTTAAGACTGAAATTGATCATCTTTACAATTTTTGTTAATGTTTATTTATTTTTGAGAGAGAGAGGGAAAGAGATCGTGAGCAGGAGAGGGGCAGAGAGAAAGGGAGACACAGAATCCAGGCTCTGAGCTGTCAGCACGGAGCTGAACGCAGGGCTCATGCAAACTCACGAACCGTGAGATCATGACCTGAGCCAAAGTCAGAGTAGTTCAACCAACTGAGCCACCCAGGTGCCCCGATCATTCTTATTTTTAATGTCTTTAATATCCTCCTATAAAGTATCTGTAAATCTTTCCCTTTCTATATAGTTGTCTGATCTTTTCTTACCGATCGATAGGGTTGCATATTTGGGATTTGAGTCGTCAGTCATGTATGCAAATATATATACTTCCCCCCCTTGAATAATAGTGTCATTTGATAAACAAGTTATAAATTTTTAAGATAGTGTAGTTAATCAGGATGTGGGTTTTTGTGGTTTTGTTTTGTTTTGCTTTTTGCCCCTTGTGGTTAATGCTTTTTGT